TTATTGCGGAATTGTAGTTCCTAAATTTGCAATATATTGCTGAGACTATTGTTATAAGACTTTTTGTTTTAAATGTTTATAAGTTAATGTATATGCCACATTATCCTGTCCCTCTCTCATCGTCCCTGACGCCACGACCCTGCCTCTCACCGTCCCTGACGCCACGACCCTGCCTCTCATCGTCCCTGACGCCACGACCCTGCCTCCCACCGTCCCTGACGCCACGACCCTGCCTCTCACCGTCCCTGACGCCACGACCCTGCCTCTCACCGTCCCTGACGCCACGACCCTGCCTCCCACCGTCCCTGACGCCACGACCGTGCCTCTCACCGTCCCTGACGCCACGACCCTGCCTCTCACCGTCCCTGACGCCACGACCCTGCCTCTCACCGTCCCTGACGCCACGACCCTGCCTCTCACCGTCCCTGACGCCACCCCCTATACCCCAACTGAGCCACTGTGTCCACTAGATCATTGTCCGGTGTCATGTGTTGACGCGATGAGTGAGCGCTGGTGTTGTGTATCGCCAGGATGACGCAGCTCGGGGACTCCACCCACGTGTACCGCCCCACCAAGACCATCACCATAGCTGACAGCGGCCTCCTGGCGGCCTGAGGACCACCGGGCCCCTACACCACCTCGAGGTCCCCCCCTCCTCCACCTCCTCGGGGGCCCCCACCACATGCTCACCCCCACACCGTCTAGTCTGAGGACCGGGCCCCCACCAACACCACTACCACCACCTCGGGTCCACGCCACAGGCTCATCTCCTCCAGCCCCGTCATAAACGAAGGCCAAAGTCCATTCCATGCACCCGCCAACCCCCCCTTCCCCTGTTTATGAATGAAAAACGGTTTTCATACGACTCACAACTGATGACGTTTGAACTCTTTTTAAAACAATGCTTCGCTGACGACCCTCTGTTCGAACCACAACGCTGTAAATGCTTCGAATGCTGTAAATGTAAATGAATCAACCCACGTACTACCAAATACAAATAATCGCCAACAGAACCTAAATACCTAACCTAACCAATGCTTAAATATGCACAGTATTGTAATATATATAACAATATTAATTTACATTTGAGAAAATTCTTAATTTGAATGAAGAGTATGTTAAAACTGATGAATGCGTCTTTGGGGTCGACCGCTGGATGGAATGGACTTGGTCAGAGGACGGGTCACACCGTCTAGCCATGTCTTGTACTGCCGCTGAGTTCCTTCCAACTTAGGTTTACAGACACTGCGCCAACTTAATGGCTTATCCAGGCAACAACGTGAACAAAACATGTTTTGAATTGTTTACTGAAACATGCCACAATCCTGACAGCTGAAACAAGCCCACAATCTCCAGTTCTGCTCCTCCACCTTTATCAAACGGCCCACAACTGCGTGCGTCACACTCAAGGGGTGAGTGTGACGCACGCCGGCGTGTGTTGCGTCTGCTGGGGTCCTCGTAAGTTCTCCGGGTTCAACACTCTTGCACGCAGTATTGGAACTCCGCCCCTTCGCCTAAGGCTTGTCCAGCGACGGCTTCGACTGCTTGTCCAGCGACGGCTTCGACTGCTTGTTCAGCGACGGCTTCGACTGCTTGTCCAGCGACGGCTTCGACGGCTTGTTCAGTGACGGCTTCGACGGCTTGTCCAGGGACGGCTTCGACGGCTTGTCCAGGGACGGCTTGTCCAGGGACGGCTTCGACGGCTTGTCCAGGGACGGCTTCGACGGCTTGTCCAGCGACGGCTTCGACGGCTTGTTCAGTGACGGCTTCGACGGCTTGTCCAGCGACAAGCTTCGACGGCTTGTCCAGCGACGGCTTCGACGGCTTGTCCAGCGTCCTGCTCATTTGGATCATTCTTCAGCAGGACCTTGGTGATGCCTGCCTCCAGCAGCCCACTTACAGCGCCACCTTCAGCAGTAAATATACCTGATCGTCATCAGAGAGAGAGAGAGAGATCGATGCTGTTGACCTCAACTTCTATTTTAAACTTTGATGCAAATCACAAGTTACTGTTATTACTCTTTGTCAGCCTTGACGAGAGGACTTGCCGCTGACACAAGAACAGGTCCCCGGAGGTCAATATATATACAGCGTCCTGCCGCATGGCCATACTTTAGCTCTGTGCTAAAGGGGGCCAGACTGTGCTCGAGTGACGTTGAATCCAGGTAGAATCAACGTTAATTCAATGTTTCCTCAACGTCGTTTGCCTAGATTTGCCCCCCCCCCAAGGGATAGGTAAACAAAGACATCACGACGTGGCGTATGATATCACCGCCGCTTCTTCAAGTGCTATCGAAAAGGATAACACTTGAAGAAGTGCTATCCTCCCCCCCCCCCCCTCCCCTACAGTGCTCTCATCACTGCTACTTCCTCAATTCAAAACGAAAATGGCAATCAAGACAAAATGCTAAGAATATTATTGCTGCTTCCTAAGAGTCAATCAAAAAACGAGTGGAAGGTGCTACTAGCTAAGTGTAGTGGGATGAAGACGATTATTAGACGTCTTCAGCCGCGCCTCTCCACCCGCACTAGAGCCCCCCCTCCCCCCCTCACCGCGGGCACCGTAGCTGCGCTTAGCGCGCTCACTGCGCTCTCACAAGGTCTCTTATGCAACTTGTAGTAATTATTTTATGTTGTAAATATTGTGTCAAAGCACGAATTGTATCGTTCAATAAAAAAGAGTTTCTTCCGTAAAAGAAAGGTATCAATAGTTGAATTATAAACATTTAAACCATTTCATCCTTATCTCTAGTACAGGTAAAGTTGTGTGTGTGTGTGTTTGTTTGTTTGTTTGTTGAGTATTGTGGCTGACACCTCCACTGGTGTCAGTTTTGGAGTAAATAGTTACCTCTCTCACACACTCGTATTTCTCTCCCCCCCCCTGATCATTCTTGTTATCCCCCTCTGTGGTCTCTGGACAGCATTGTTATCATACTGATATGTTATTTAGATAACTCATTTTTATTTAGAAGAAGGTAGGAGTGTGTAGTAGTAGTGGTAGTAGTATTATAAACGTGTCTAGGTCTCAAAGTCAATTGTTAATTCTTGAAAATGAATTGTTGGTCCATAGATTATTTTTTAGACTACATGCATGCTGGAATAAGCTGGAAATAAGCTGGAAAGCCTATTGTACATATGATCAAAGCTTCTAAAACTTTAAGAGTAGAATATTGCAACAGAAACTTATTATCAATATGTTATCAACAAAGTTCCTTAAATACGTAGAGGCAAAGCTAACCGGTTAGCTCACTGTCATCAGTCACCATGGCAACTGTATCGCTATATATAATATTCAGCATAATGGTATCTTCCTGTATCGACCCAGTACTGGACTTGAGATCCCGCTCCCCCCCTACATATGCTTCCAGTTCCCAGTCTTGAGCCCTACCCCGTATCTTTCCAGTTCCCAGTCTTGATTAGTACCTCATATGCTTCCAGTCCCCATTCACGAGCCCTTCCCCTTATCCTTCCAGTTCCCAATCTTGAACCCTCTCTAATATGCTTCGAGTTCCCAATCTTGAACCCTCTCTAATATGCTTCGAGTTCCCAATCTTGAACCCTCTCTAATATGCTTCGAGTTCCCAATCTTGAACCCTCTCTAATATGCTTCAAGTTCCCAATCTTGAACCCTCTCTAATATGCTTCGAGTTCCCAGTCTTGAACCCTCTCTAATATGCTTCGAGTTCCCAATCTTGAGCACTACCTCATACGCTTCCAGTTCCCAATCTTGAGCCCTTTCCATATGCTTCCAATCCCTTTTTGCCTTTCTCCATTCCTGTCCATTTGGTGACTGCAAACCTTATTTCGTCCATCCCTCGCGCATTTGGTCCGTTCTTAAGCATTATCTCTTATGAAGTTCCTCTGTTTTTTTGGTTACATGTCTTTCCCACTGCCTTTTTAGTTCCTTGATTCTCACTGTAATATCTGTTAATACATTTTTTAGATCTAATCCGTTAGTTTTTTTACGGTCCTTACAGTTGTGTTCAACACGTGACTCTACACACCTCCCTTACAGTTGTGTTCAACACGTGACTCTACACACCTCCCTTACAGTTGTGTTCAACACGTGACTCTACACACCTCCCTTACAGTTGTGTTCAACACGTGACTCTACACACCTCCCTTACAGTTGTGTTCAACACGTGACTCTACACACCTCCCTTACAGTTGTGTTCAACACGTGACTATACACACCTCCCTTACAGTTGTGTTCAACATGTGACTCTACACACCTCCCTTACAGTTGTGTTCAACACGTGACTCTACACACCTCCCTTACAGTTGTGTTCAACACGTGACTCTACACACCTCCCTTACAGTTGTGTTCAACACGTGACTATACACACCTCCCTTACAGTTGTGTTCAACACGTGACTATACACACCTCCCTTACAGTTGTGTTCAACACGTGACTATACACACCTCCCTTACAGTTGTGTTCAACACGTGACTATACACACCTCCCTTACAGTTGTGTTCAACACGTGACTATACACACCTCCATTACAGTTGTGTTCAACACGTGACTCTACACACCTCCCTTACAGTTGTGTTCAACACGTGACTATACACACCTCCCTTACAGTTGTGTTCAACACGTGACTATACACACCTCCCTTACAGTTGTGTTCAACATGTGACTATACACACCTCCATTACAGTTGTGTTCAACATGTGACTATACACACCTCCCTTACAGTTGTGTTCAACATGTGACTATACACACCTCCCTTACAGTTGGAGGTGTATACCCCACACCTCCAGATCCACACCTCCTGGATCTGGCTATATCCAGGGGGACCTGTTCAACATGTGACTCTACACACCTCCCTTACAGTTGTGTTCAACACGTGACTCTATACACACCTCCCTTACAGTTATTTTGAGATATACCTTAGTGGTGCTCCAGGGAGATAACCCACTCCATCATCTGTCATATAAGAAACAATTCACAATCATTTATATCCTCCCAGACTCATATATTTATGTCTAACCTACGCTTGAAACAATGAAACTACTACTAGAAGCTGACGACATCTGGTTACCATAGAAGGCATAAAAGATTGCAACTCAAAAGTCATCACCTCTGATACACTATTGTTGATATTGTTGATGATCGACCCCTTGAAGATCCGACTTGATGATGGTCCAGGACTGACCGAGACGTCGTTACTTCATCTTCTAGTGTGTGTGGTCTGGTCATCCGACCCTTGAAGAGTTTGGACCATTGTCGTTGAGGCGTGGGCTATCTTTCAGCCTTACACTTCATAACGAACAGTCGCAGCTATGGTGAACTCTGGTGAAGTAGTAGTGCTGGGGATCGTAGGGAGGAGTAACGACCATGGTGGTCGTAAGAGATAGTAGCAAACACGGTGATCGTAGACTAATGTCAGCCCTGGTGATCGAATAATGAAACACATCTTGACTATACAGTTTAGAGTATGTCCAAACTCAGATGGCTGTGTTCAGGGGGACCTGGCTGTGTCTGGGGGGACCTGGCAGTGTCCAGGGGGACCTGGCAGTGTCCAGGGGGACCTGGCAGTGTCCAGGGGGACCTGGCAGTGTCCAGGGGGACCTGGCTGTGTCTGGGGGGACCTGGCAGTGTCCAGGGGGACCTGGCTGTGTTCAGGGGGACCTGGCTATATCCAGGGGGACCTGGCTATATCCAGGGGGACCTGGCTATATCCAGGGGGACCTGGCTATATCCAGGGGGACCTGGCTATATCCAGGGGGACCTGGCTATATCCAGGGGGACCTGGCTATATCCAGGGGGACCTGGCTATATCCAGGGGGACCTGGCTATATCCACGGGGACCTGACTATATCCAGGGGGACCTGGCAGTGTCCAGGGGGACCTGGCTATATCCAGGGGGACCTGGCTATATCCAGGGGGACCTGGCTATATCCAGGGGGACCTGGCTATATCCAGGGGGACCTGGCTATATCCAGGGGGACCTGGCAGTGTCCAGGGGGACCTGGCTATATCCAGGGGGACCTGGCTATATCCAGGGGGACCTGGCTATATCCAGGGGGACCTGGCACAGGAAACCATTAATCGCACAATGGCTGTAATAAGCTTTAGAAAGCAAATTAGTATGCGTCTCCTGGCTACTCCGTCCACCTGCACACTCTACTACTACTTGCTGAATATATTGCTGACCACAGTAGCTGTAGGACAGGTATGAAGGGTCTGCCTAATTGTTTAATTATCAGGGGGGAAAGCGCCAAGCTATTACGACTTTATAGCACTGGGAAGGGGTCAGGATGAGGATTTGGGATGGGACGGGGGGGAAAGGAATGGTGCCCAACCACTTGTGGACGGTCGGGGATTGAACGCCGACCTGCATGAAACGAGACCGTCGCTCTACCGTCCAGTCAGTGTGGTTGGTAGGGTGTGCCTAGTGCTGACTGGGGAAAATACTGCAGGTAAATAAAACATAGACGACAGAAATATATCGTACAAGGATCATCAGATGAAGTCATATCTACTGTTTATTCAACTCATCCTCCTGAAATGATACTATTTTTTTACAACTATGATATCGATCGTACAAAATTTAGTAATGGAGCCCCAGTAAGCCACTTTTTGTACCATTTTTGTTATGGAGTTAAAAAAATAAAGCTAAACCCCAGTTTAATAAATGTAAACAAAGCCGCCAAAGATTGAGAAAAGATGTTTGTAAGTAAATGTGTAAATGCTTGTTGGGTGCTGGGCCAGGCGTGTAGAAGACCTGGGGCCAGATTCACGAAGCAGTTACGCAAGTTCTTACGAACGTGTACACCTTTCCTCAATCTTTGACGGCTTTGGTTACATTTATTAAACAGTTTACAAGCATGAAAACTTCCCAATCAACTGTTGTTATTGTTATAAACAGCCTCCTGGTGCTCCGGAGCTCATTAACTGTTGAACAATTGTAAATAAAGCCGCCAAAAATTGAGAAAAGATGGACAGGTTCGTAAGTACTTGCGTAAGTGCTTCGTGAATCTGGCCCCTGTCTGACAGGTCGACGTTCCCAATTGTCCAAGTACTGGTTGACTCCTTCTTTCATCCTCTCTTTCTGTCCCAGTTCCTTACATCCCTTTCAAGTGCCGTATAGCCACACTGACTTCCCGCTTTCTCGTGATAATCACCTTACTAAGCCTACCATTAGTATCAGTGAACAAACTATATGCAACTAAAGCAACGTGCAAGACGTCATGTATTAAAAAAACGAGAATCCTTCTTTACAAATGACATAAAAATATGAAATAAGTCAAAACAATGAATAATAGCCTAGGCAGGTGGTGATCGATGCCGAGGCTGACTCGGGTGAATGGTAGGTGGACACCAGTGGTGGGATCTGCGGACGCTGATGGGACGTTGGTGAGTATTAAGGTGTGACCTCCATGGCCAGAGTGCCTCAAGTGGCCTCTTGGTAGGTTGTCACGCCTTCCTGTGGCCCAGCGGGAGGAAGGGGCCGCAGACAAGGCCGCGGGAGGAAGGGGCCGCAGACAAGGCCGCGGGAGGAAGGGGCCGCAGACAAGGCCGCGGGAGGAAGGGGCCGCAGACAAGGCCGCGGGAGGAAGGGGCCGCAGACAAGGCCGCGGGAGGAAGGGGGTGCAGACAAGGCCGCGGGAGGAAGGGGGCGCAGACAAGGCCGCGGGAGGAAGGGGCCGCAGACAAGGCCGCGGGAGGAAGGGGGTGCAGACAAGGCCGCGGGAGGAAGGGGGCGCAGACAAGGCCGCGGGAGGAAGGGGGTGCAGACAAGGCCGCGGGAGGAAGGGGGTGCAGACAAGGCCGCGGGAGGAAGGGGGTGCAGACAAGGCCGCGGGAGGAAGGGGGCGCAGACAAGGCCGCGGGAGGAAGGGGGTGCAGACAAGGCCGCGGGAGGAAGGGGGTGCAGACAAGGCCGCGGGAGGAATTAAGGGGGTGCAGACAAGGCCGCGGGAGGAAGGGGGTGCAGACAAGGCCGTGGGAGGAAGGGGGTGCAGACAAGGCCGCGGGAGGAAGGGGGCGCAGACAAGGCCGCAGGAGGGCGCAGTAATCCCTGACGATTGTATGAGCGAAGGTCCTCCTGAAGGAGGTCACAAGTGGGACCAAGCCTTGCCGTATGCAAGAGGAGGTGGTGGCGGAGCCTGCAGGACTGCCAGGACGTGTGTGTGTATTAGATACAACTCCGCGTGATGCCGCACAACAAAAGGGAGCCTTATAGTAAAAGATCATTAATGTTAAATAACAGAACGGCCGATACCATTCGCCCATTCAATGTATCACTACCTTATGCGAAAGGACTTGAAAAGCTTTCCCCGGTTTTTAAGAACCTTAATAATCAATGCATCACTTTCAATATAGTTCATAGCATCACGGATAAGTAAGATCTCATTTTAAGTGATTATTATAAAAATTACATAATTTCTCACCAACACGAAAACTTAACTAATATTCACTAGTATTAACCATTAACTGAAGATTATTTGAACTAGTATAAACTCTTTTTAATCACGAAATAAAATACTCTGTGACAACTCTTTAGCTGGCTTTAAAACTAACGAAACCCGAAACGCTATGCGTACTAGTGGCTCTAGGTATTATATGTACTAGCTTTTTTTGTTGCCGCCGAAGGCGGCTAGTTTATTGTGCACCCCATACTCATCCTGTGAGCGGTAGCGCAAAAGCATTACAGAGGGCACAAAAGGTCTTTATCAGACCTCATCTTAGATTATTACATAAACAATTTCTTCAATCCTTCACACCTTATAGATACAATGTCAGCTAGTTACAGAGAAAGTGCTATTACAAGAGCTACATATTTACAGTAAGTACCCACATTTTGCTTCCAGTAGATGAACGACATATGAGATTCAGAAACAAGTAGTGTATTGTGAGGACTAATAATAAACAGAAGCTTCCCTATGTACTAGCTCTATCTTTAAATCCAACATTATGTTTGTAACTCATCTTCAATGTATGTACCTTTACCTGAATAAAAAATCTAAATCTAAATCTAACAGAGGTAAACGCTTGCCCGAAACGCTACGCGTACTAGTGGCTGTACAAGAATGTAACAACTCTTGTATATATAAATAAAAACAATAATAAAAAAAGGTGATGAGCATTCTTTAACAGCTTGACAATTACAAGATTGGAAGCCAGACACTCGCAGTTATGAACATAATGAAGATAACCGCAGAAGGCCTATTGGCCCATACGTGTACAATACAATACAATACAATACAATACAATTTTATTTAGGTAAGGTACATACATACAATAAATATTTACAAGGATTGTTTAACTTATAGGTATAGCTAGTACATACAATGCCTAAAGCCACTATTACGCAAAGCGTTTCGGGCATGATAAACTTAAATGACAAGCTTAATACTAATTGAGCATAATGAGTAGAATGAAAACAAGAAATGAAAACATAGATGAAAAAGCAGCACAAATACAATTATGTCGACAAACAGCGCTCTTTAAAGAAAAAAACAGACATACCATAATCAAACCCAACATATTATGGAACCTCTCACTACATATATAATACAGAGTAGTTAAAGCATTAAATATCTTCAGTAACCCTAAATTAGGTCACATCCAACAGTCCATCTTCCGAATATGGGGAGGTAGATGTAACAGCACAAGTAAGTGTAATTATGTACTATTTTTAGCAGTCAGGAATTGTACTTATTTTCACTTTGTATTGAACCGTACTGTCAAATATATTGTGAATATTTGAGTTTACCTGAAAAGCTGAATAGAAAACCACGACCTAACCTAACCTAACCTTCTTAGTGTTTGAGGACAAGCATTTTATTGCTTCTTAATTACAATTAGTACTTAAACTATAGCTATATTGATATTACAGTTTTATAAAACTAATAAAACAAAACTAAAATATTTCAATTAATTGTAAAGTAACTCAGGATATTTTCAAATTTTGTATAAAATCTTTTATTTTGTTTAATAAAACTGAAAAAGAAATTCCTGATATTTAAAACTGTGTATAAGAAATTGAACTTGAAACAACTGACCTGTTCATAGATTAAACTTGAAACAACTAGCTGACCTGTCATACATTGAATTTGAAACAACTGACCTGTTCATACATTGAACGTGAAACAACTGACCTGTTCATACATTGAACGTGAAACAACTGACCTGTTCATACATTGAACGTGAAACAACTGACCTGTTCATACACTGAATTTGAAACAACTGACCTGTTCATACATTGAACGTGAAACAACTAACCTGTTCATACATTGAACTTGAACCAACTGACCTGTTCATACATTGAACTTGAACCAACTGACCTGTTCATACATTGAACTTGAAACAACTGACCTGTTCATACATTGAACGTGAAACAACTAACCTGTTCATACATTGAACTTGAACCAACTGACCTGTTCATACATTGAACTTGAAACAACTGACCTGTTCATACATTGAACTTGAAACAACAGACTTGTTTATACATTTCAAATCTCCCGGGGACCCAAACATAGAAAACGTCAACCTTGTCCCAAAAGAAGCAATAACAGTCAGCTGACGCCATAAACAAACCATCCAGCCCTCGCATCCCATCCCATCATCGTCGTCGCCCCATAATTAATTCACAACAGCATCCGATTACATCGAGAGGAGATAACATCATGCAAACTACACCTACTATCAAGAAGAAGAAGGAGATAACATTCACGGAAACTGCACGTATCTCAAAGACGAAGACTACCTCTTAAGAAACAACACTGAAAACACTTGGAGATCTACAGTGACGCAACTTCACTCTTGCTGTCTTCGAGAGTGAGCAGAAAAACTTTCATGCAAACTGCAGGCAAGCTAAAGATGGTGCCCATGGTGGAGTGCATTGTGTAGGGTGTCCTTGGGAGGAAGTGCGTGCAGCTGAGATGTTTCTTGTGGTTACCAACATACCTGGCTTATTTAGAACACCAGATCTGAGAAACTACTTTTCTGAATATGTTGAGAAAGAAGCATTCATGTGCTTCCATTTCCGTCATCGTCCCCAGACACAGCTCGCACAGCTCCTGGATAATGCACTTGTCTCGTTACCTCAGCCAAACTCGGACTCGCAGACGGACTCACATAAGTCCGACAACCCCAACGGTAAGAATGCAAGTTTATCGAGATTCCAGTCACTTAGTGCATCAAGTTCGAAGGCCCAACAAGAAGAACTTGTTGAAGGAAGTGACACCATTTTAAATAAAAGTTTGGAAAAACAAGTTACTGTAGATAATACCGAGAAGAATAACAGTGAAAAAGCATTAACATTATTAGACGGGAGTGCCAAGAGTGCCAACACGAAGTTGCATTGGTTGAATTCAGGCTTGTCTGGTCTTTCGTCATTAATTAAAGAAAAGAAAGGAAAGGCAAAGGCAGACATGAAGCACTATACGCAAACTTTAAGAGAAGAAAAATCTTCAATATGTTTAGACAATGTAGATGCAAGTAAACATACATTACCTAAAGTACATAGTAATAATGAAGACATGCATTCACCAATACCGGAAAGTGTTGTGGCTGGCACTGCTGAGAGAGATGCTGGGTCAAATGTGAAGACTTGCTGCATTTTGAACATAAAGGATGATTTTGTGGACAGTTTTATATCAAAGTATAATAAAAAACACTGGGTTGATCGTGCTGGTGATGTTCTACCCCCAAGGTGCTTTGTCTTTAGGATAAACTTCAGGAAAAGTATAAATGATGGTAAGGTGATGTGCAAATTTCATGTGCTGTAGATTGTTTGCCAATAATTATAGATTTTTTTTTTATAAATTTTGATGCCTGTACAGTATTCTATATTTTTGTTTAATATTTGTGCTATATAACATACTGATAACAGATGTGGGTATTGTACAACACCATAATTGCCTGCGACTTAAAGAATGGAAGTTTAAATGAAAAACAAAATTTTTTTATATAATTTTTTAGGCATATAACATTAAGAATATAAACTTAACCTATAAATACATAAAATTTGAGTTAAAGCAATCTTAAGACAATTTTACCTATTGCTTATTTGGTTGTCATCTAATTACAAGATATTAAGTTAAATAAAAGATAATGTTATTTTGTTATTTACTAATCTATCTCATAAATCTATAGTAATCCAATATTAGTATGTTGCCCAACGCAGGATTATGGTTTTGAGAACCTCAGGAAACTGACCTCAATACTGAACAAGGGAACAATGCTAGATAATAATTTATATATACATTACTGGTACAGTACATATATTTCAACATTTATAAAGATATTACAAATTAAGGTGAGTATTATACAAATATAACGTACATGTTTTCTTGGTGAAACCCCTTTATAATGGGGTGATATAAAGTAAGTATTGATCGATCACCAAGCCCAAGGTGGCCAAGATCTTGTAACAGGCCGAAACTTAGGCCACTGATGTGTTTTGTTATCTTGATAACTACTACGTTCGTAGACTAGATTGTGGTGAAATGTTATTTAAAAAAAAACTTTCCCTTTGATTCGTAGCACAGGTTTTCCTAAACATTATTCAACATATTTTGTATAACATTGACAAGTAAAAAATTAGCATATGTGACTGAGGACTGGTAAGCTTACCTTATGCAGGTATTAGAATCGGGATAAAGCACAAATGGCTCTCTCGGCTATGTTTCATAATGAATGACCGAGTTTACAGTGAGTTGAATTGGGTTTAGTTTAGGTTTGGAGCTTTGCTAGTTCAGCATCAAAATACTTGTACTGTGTGGTATGTGCCGTACATTAGAAATAGAGTATTAGTTTTAATAAAGTGTAATTTTGACAATGGTGCAGTATTATTAGTTATTATTACCATTAGTTATTGATATTGATAACAAAAACTAAAATTTACTATTTTTGAATGAATTAGAGATTTTATTCATCAAATGTGTTTTCCTAACAGATACAGATTACAGGACAAGACGAGAGTTGGACTCTCAAAGTCTCTCTGTGGATTCACCTCTAGATTTAATTGAGTTTTCTCCTCCTCCTCTCATGCCACAGGGAAATGTTGGCACACCAACCCAACACTTCAAGACACTAATTAAGACCTGTCAGTTGCCTGGTTCTATTATAAGAAAACTGGGCCTGGAATTTCCGAGGAGCAGGTGAAGCAATTCTTCCTGTTTGTGGTTTTTTGACTTTGAAAATAATTTCAAAGTTAAATTTAAGAGAAATTAAATTGCTGTATGTATTTTTAGTTTTAGTGTAATTAGTAGTCTTGATAAATATAATGTATATACTACCCCATTTACCAATTAAAATAGTTACTGCAGAATATTCTATTCACAATATAATTTTTTATTATATTAATTTTTAATTACAGTACTATACTGTGAAATAATTTGTGTAATATACTCTCAACATAGTAATACTTTTTGGTTGTCTTATTTACTTTATATCTTATTGTTTTCCACATTACAATGAGCAACATTTGAGTTGATAAATGTAATATAAAATATCTAATCTAGGCACCCCTGATGCTTAAGACTTAGATTACAGAAAAGCCTGTCAATCATTGCAGGCCCATCAAACTTGGGCAGCCTATCAGAAACAAGGATAACAAATCTGGTTTGCTTATGACAGCACGGGAACATATTGGGATCAGAAATGGAATGAAAACTGATAAAAGTACCCAGAAAGTCATGTGTGAAACAAACTACTGCTTATAACGAGGCAAGACAATTTAAAAAAGGCAAAAAGTGGTTAGACACCATGTAACAAGCCGTTGTACTAATTTTCCTGGCAGTCACCAGATGGTAGCAAATATCTTTAAGGCCCTGACCCCATCATCGCTCATGTGCCCAATAATGACCAAGTTCTCTTCATAGACAGTTTGAAACATTTCCCAATGTGTCAGTGGTTTACCACTGACTCTTTGGGAAATGACACATGTTTACCTTCCCTGACTGTGCCCGACCCTTGGTCAGTAGGATCATCCCTTAGCAAGCACCTGAGTGTACTTCACAAGAGTTTTTTTTCACATGCACTTAAAACTTGATTTGTAACTTCTAAAGACATGCTATAGAGAATATTCCAATCATTAGAACTGATAGCATGTGTAAGGTTATTCATCACAAACTTTGACGTTGCAGAGGACAGAAGCGGTTTAGCAAAGTACCTTTCAATTATGGAACGGGTGTTGTCAGGACGGAGCCACGGTGCTCAGATGAGGAAGGGATTACATTTACCGCTGCTGGTCACCTTATACCCTCTTCAGCAGATTTTGTTAAAATAAAGAATAAACTGAAGAAGAAACAGGTTTCTAGACGACCAAAATTAGAACTGGAAAGCGAAAGAGAGGTACGTTGTATGTTACAAATTCCTAATTTATTGTGTTAAAAGTTTAAGACTCCTGCTGTTCTTATTTAACCATTTCACTTTGTTTTTATTTTTGTTATTCAATATCTCCACTGAAATGCATAGTTATAACTTACCAGTGAAGTTAGTAAATGTTCGTATACTGGTCTGGACATTTATCCTACTATGGTCGTATTGTAGTAGATACATTTCATCACTCTTCCCTCCAATTCATCACTCTTCCCTCCAGCCTTGCTTACTGTTGATATTTTTCATATTATTCATTTCAAAGTATTTCCGTACTTTGTAGAATTTACTATGCAATATGTATTTAAATTTCTCAATGGGTAATTTGGTACTTTTAATATTTTTCATTTTTTGCATTGTTGCAATATCTGGATAATTTATTCACATATCGGTTTCATATGTCCAACAGCTATGGATGGTAGTGCAAGGATTGTCTATTATTATTGGCCAATATAGTCCTGTTGATAGATTATACAATCATATGAGCACATGGTCGAGGAGGCTGGGGGGTGATAAGACCTTAAAATATCTTTAAATAATGTATAAGCATAGTTGTACTGTAAGTGCTACACATCTTTTAATGCAGGGGGAAATTTGCAGAGATCTCATTTGCAGTCAGAAGCTTGCACAAATTAGAATTAGAGCCAGTTAAATTTGTGTTATACTGTATATCAGAAGAGCAGTTAAATTTACAGTATTTGGTTTAAATTAGTAATGTATATCTTAAAACCAGAGTAAGATGCCCTTTGAGAGCAACTGCTTGGGCTCTGTCTCTATCTTGGTTTATCTTTTCCTTTGAACTTTTCCACTTTTGTGGATTTCTTGAATCATACCTTTTAAGAGTTGATTGAAGTTATCTCAATTCGCTTGGATTGGAGTTGAGACCCCAGATCACCAAAACAAATTCTCGCCTGTAATCAAGAACCTTTATCTAGTGGGGATTACTTTCAAAGGGCTGAGCTTAGTTTGTAAACACATTATACTTAGTAAAAACATCTTGAACAGTATTTTCCACCTCCTGTTTTGTATCATAATTTTGTCCTCTTACAGAGAAATGATAATAATATACTGTATAGATATTTCTTATAGATTCATATATAGCCTGCTTGAGAATCAGGATTCAAATATGTCTGTATTAAGAATACTGTATAATAAAGTGAATGTATTTACTTTGCCATATTGCTCATATTGTATAAAAAAAATAATAATCATTTATACTTTCTTTAGGATGGTGCAGAAACAGAAGAATGGGAACGCTATGAAGCCTTCCACAATGATGTAACAAGCCAAGACCGTTGTAAAGAGCGACTCTATGAAAAGGAGATAGAGGTAGGTATCTGAATTTACCTGAGGGCCACTAATACTAGTGGCTTCTTCTTGTACTCAATGAGGACAGGAAGTCGGTGGTTTGTCAAATGCCCCCCCCCATTTGCCCTGATTATCTTTTCCAGCTGTATTTTAAAAGCCAGCAGAGTTTTGGCATTTATGGCTTCGGTGGGTAGGCAGTTCCAGGGATTTACAACCCTACCACCTACATTTCTGTATCATAATATATTACCCTGCAATTATAACTAGATATAATTGAACAAATGGATGTTGGTAGACTAGTTAGGAGAGGAATTTATTCAAGGAAACTTGAGGATAGTAGAAGAGGAAGGCGGAGAAGATGAGTGGACATGTTAAGGTAGTGATGACAAGACCACACACTAGAATGTGAAGGGACGACGACGTTTCGGTCCATCCTGGACCATTCTCAATCGACTTGAGAATGGTCCAGGACGGAGCGAAACGTCGTCGTCCCTTCACATTCTAGTGTGTGGTCTTGTCATCATACCTTAGCCACATTATTGTGACTCATCGCCTATTAAGGTAGTGTGTGTGGTTGTGTGGACAACACAGGGTATGGTGAAGGACAAACGCTGGGTGGAAGCAGTTTGTAAGAATGCTCCCATGAGCATTACCCATACAAATAAACAGCATAGTAAGGATATACCTCCTCATTTTTTAGCTAATGACTACCCTGTCACTTGTGGTCTGCAATGACGACCAAAAGTTAAGTTCTTCCCCTGAAACTGTTGTCTTTGTGGCTCTTTTCTCAGCACCCAACAACAGCAATTGTTGTTGGGTGCAGCACTGAGGAGGAGTTGGGGCTGTAGGGAAAACACTGATAAATAAATAAATAAATGTTTATTCAGGTAAGGTACATACAAGAGGTTTTACAAAAATTGATAGATTTATAGATAGAGATAGTACATACAATGCCTAAAGCCACTATTACGCAAAGCGTTTCGGGCAGAGAAGTTCACTGAGAAGTTAAAACAAAAAACTTCACTGAGAAGTTAAAATAAAAAACTGTGTTTTTTTTTCAAATCTGAGCTTGATTGATTAATTTAATTAATTAGTGCTGACATGGCACCACACAAGCCAGCATTGGTACAGATGTCTATTTAAATTTTGTTAAGAAATCTCACTATATTATATAGATTATGGCAATGGAGATTTGGGAGTGGCATGTATTTTATTCATTAGGAATACTGCACTTTAAATTTACATTAAAGTGTTAAATATTGATGCTTCTGAATATTGATGCTTCTGAATGTTAAAATTTTGTATAAAAACCTATAAAAATATTGATGCTTCTGAATGTTAAAATTTTGTATAAAAACCTATAAAAAGTATTGTAATTTGCTAAATAACTTGGCTCTGTACATTTACAGTTGGTGTGGGAGAAAGGAGGACCAGGACTTGTATTTTACACTGATGCACAGTACTGGAGGCAACAAGAAGGTGACTTTGATGAGCAGACAACTGATGAGTGGGATGTTGACATGTCTGTCTACTATGAGAGAGGTTTGTCCTTTACAGTTTGATGTCTTGATAATGAGGCCTAACACAAGTATCATTTCTAACAGAAAAACCTGCATAAGAATTTTGAGGTTATATTTGTTACTGTATGTTTTATTCTGAATGCATAGGTGCACAACTTTAGTCTTCCCTGCTGGACCGATTATGTGCCTCTGTAACCCTTTCCACCACCATCCACAGGATGGGGTATAGGGTGCATAGTAAAGAAAGAAATTGCAATTGAATTGCCTGCAGCAGTTATTGATTGATATGTACAATGACTTTAAAACTTATACACCTCTCAGATGCTTAAGGGAAGAAATAATCACTAGAGATTGGTTGACAACTTGCATATTTTTGTGGTAGATGAGCTGTATGAAACATAATTCTTATTCAGGTTACTTTTAAATTTGTGAAAACTTCAGTGGTAATATAAACTCTTAAACATCAGTTCTAAAAATTTTTTTAATGCATCAAGAAAAGAGAGAGTCAGGTAGCATTAAGTATGGGACTTCATTTTTGAAAAATGGACATTCTTCATTGGAACAGTGCATATATAGTTATGTTATTCACATCAGAGCCACAAATTTTACCATGTTTCTACTTTGAAATACAATACAACAATGTATGATCCATATTCTGTTGGATAATGCAGGTTGGATAATGAATATTCTGTTGGATAAGGCCCAGAAAGGGCCCGGGTACAGGCCCAGAAAGGGCCCGGGTACAGGCCCAGAAAGGGCCCGGGTACAGGCCCAGAAAGGGCCCGGGTACAGGCCCAGAAAGGGCCCGGGTACAGGCCCAGAAAGGGCCCGGGTACAGGCCCAGAAAGGGCCCGGGTACAGGCCCAGAAAGGGCCCGGGTACAGGCCCAGAAAGGGCCCGGGTACAGGCCCGGAAAGGGCCCGGGTACAGGCCCGGAAAGGGCCCGGGTACAGGCCCGGAAGGGGCCCGGGTACAGGCCCGGAAGGGGCCCGGGTACAGGCCCGGAAGGGGCCCGGGTACAGGCCCGGAAGGGGCCCGGGTACAGGCCCGGAAAGGGCCCGGGTACAGGCCCGGAAAGGGCCCGGGTACAGGCCCGGAAAGGGCCCGGGTACAGGCCCGGAAAGGGCCCGGGTACAGGCCCAGAAAGGTACCCAGAAAAGTACCCGTCATACCATATGATAGTAATTATCTCCACAAGATGTAAATTATACTAAATAGATGAATGAAGAGATTTCTTAGCATTTATCCTGATGATAATAATAATAATTATAATAATAATAATATGGTAATACAATTTAGAGTTCAATGATTTTGCAGGTGCTGGAGACCAAGATGCTCGGGACAGTGTAGCTATGTTACATAGTGATAAACTTCGATCTGGAAAACTCTCTCAATCAGCTTTCAGGACTACAGGAACTCATAATGTGGATAAAAATAGGAAAAAGGACACTTCGTCAGTAAGAAAGAAAAGGAGAATTGGTAAGTTACAAAGTGGCATGAGTAAATACATTTGTATTGGCCAGAAAATATATATACATGATTTTCTTTCGTTGTTCATTTGCATTTGTACTTAAATTGCTAAGCTATGACAATATGAAATAACCCCGACTATTACCCACACCAATCATAATGTACTGCAGTCACCCACTTCAAAAACCAAGAAAATTTAGTTTACAGCTTAATTGAACATATCTAATGTCGAAAATGAAAATGCCATTTTATCTTACAAAGGTCCAACAGCACCACCAGTAATAGGCGAGTTTGAAGAGCACACCCGAGGCTTTGGTCGCCGGCTGCTGGAGGCACAGGGCTGGAACGATGGTCAGGGATTAGGAAAAGATTCTAAAGGCCTTCCATATGCTTTAGATGGCGATGGGCAGCATCCTCATGACAAGAAAGGATTTGGGTAAGTTTCCCCTCTTAGACAACTTGGAATTTCATTAGTGTAAACGTAAATACTGTATTGATTTTAAAGTATTTGGGTATTTCACTTTTAGATATTAGTGGAAAGAAAAATTAATAAATATAAACCAGTAGTTGTATACTGTAGACATTATCGTGCTCAGCATATTGTGCACTAATAAGTTACCTGTCCATGCCAAAATAGCCAATCAGAAAACCTTATTTCAGCATCAGAGTAATAATTAAAAAATGCAGTTTAGTGAGAGCTCTTGTCTGTCAGTATCTTTTGGAGAGACTCAGTCAAACATTACAACCAGTTTCAAAGTGTTAAGGCCCTGAAAGAATGTTGTAAATATTTGATGAAGCATTCTATTTATAAACTTGGCTATCACATTCATGAAGCCATCATTGTTTACATGTACTGAACAAGTAAAACTGTAGGAAGGTTGACTGATAATGTAGATACAGTATAGTAAATGACTAAACTACTTATTTAGTATACTATGGAGGTAATATATTAGCTGGGGATGCCTAGTTGGATTTGGATAGTCTTTTTGGATGTTTATGGGTATACTTTTTGTGGTCACTTATCTGGGTTTAGTTCTGACTGGAACATTTGAAAACATCTCTGCTGTTCTGGGGCAATAAATTATCTTGACCTGACTATCATAAACCTGTCAAATGAGCTTCTGAATGACCTGCTCAAAAAGGAGCTTTTTATATAAATTCAAAACCCAGATTTATATACAGTATATAGATGTTGTTGTGATAGGGATGGGAACAGATCATGTGTCCGAGGGAAATTAACATAATACATTATATGACAAATGACAAGATTATAGTGAGCTTTGCATGAAGTATGGGGAAAACTAGAACTGAATATGTTGGAACATACTTGTAAATGCTGTAGGCAAAATGGATGATAAAATGAGAGTAAACAGCACATAAGAAAAGTAAATCGAACATTTGGGTATGACTTTAAAAAAAAAACTTAGCCATGGTGGTGGTCAAGAAGTGACTGTGTGGGTTGTTCAGTACAGTAGATAGCTAGGGGTGTGACTTTGCATTCTCTTTGATGCCAAGTTGTACCTTGAAAAACTTGAATATATCACACGAATATACTTTTCTATCTACATTCTGGATTATATTGAATATTCTCCAGTGTGACTGGGCATGGATAGTTTGAATAGTTCCCTGTTGCACCAATAAAGAATTTCATTCTACCTTGACTGGAAAATCCTAACCAGAGATTAGTATTATCTTGCCTTAGAGAGCAACTCGGTGGGATAGCTCGGAGATATGAAGATAAAGCAAGAGACAGAAAACCAATAAAGAAAGGGTGAGATTACAAGCGATATTAATGTAACAAGTTTTCAAGAGAGGTTGCTGCAGTGAGAAGAAGGAATATATCTGGATAGTATACGGGAAAGTTCCTCTGATGCTGTAAAGGAAATTAAACAGGCTAGGAAGACATTCATAAATATGTAATAAGACAGCAGATGTATAACTGAACCAAAATGTTGCCGTATGTTAACATCGTAACCATATTTGTTAAAATATTGCAAATAAAATAAAAGGCAACATTCTTTAGTATTTACATTAATGATAACTTATGATTGATCTTTATAGCTACTATGGTGAAAAACTTGAAGGCTGGAGAAGGAGTCATTCAAGCACAGGACAACGTCAGTCACAGCAGTTCAAAGAAACACATCAGCAGCACAAGAAAGAGGTCCTGATATCTACAGTATTTGATCGTCCCAAAGATGTGGATCCCCCAACCCCAACCCTTCGCACTCATGAGCCTACCACTCTTTCTCACCGTCATAATTATGTTTCATTTACTAAAGCTATGGATCCCAATTAAAAATATAAGCAGTTTCAAGGTATCATTTTAAATACGTAAGGGAAATTTGTATATATTACCGTATTTCATTCTGTCCTAAATGAATTTAGGACTGGTTCACCAATTTTTACAAAACATGATATCGTGCTGAATTCCAGTACTGTATAGTGATGTCTTTCCCAAACAGAACTCATTTTAACAGAAGTTTGGATGGAAGACAAAAAATTCAGATCTAATGTTTGTAAATGGCTAACATTCCTGTGAAAAGAAACAAGTGTTCACCTGACCAGGAACTATTTATTCATTCCCATCCATGCTGAAGAAAAATATTAAACCAAAATACAATAAACTCTCTTTTATCATGTCCAACTTTTAATTAAAGAAATGTCTTTTATATCCAAGTTTTACTTAATTCCTCAGTTCTAATATTTTAACTGGATTGTCTCCTTGTCAGCACTCGGTAATTAGCCTGTACGTGTCTGTTTCTGTGCTCAGCGGTGATTACACTGCAGTCTTCCTTTTCAATATTTTATACACATAGTAGGGATCATAACACCTCTGCTTCTTCTCTATTGTAGAGTTGTTACATTGATTTTCCTAAGCTGTCCTTGTAGCCGAGTCTTCTTAATTCCAATAATAGTCTTGTTGCCAACCTTAGTACTGTAGAAGTTTCCTTTTGTACTACACGAGGTCCAGATTCCAAGCCATTGCTGCATAATCTTGTTCTATTATTAAATAGGCTGTGTAAATGTCTAGAAAAAGTCCTTTAGATTTATTTTTGTGAAAGCTGTCTATTGTGTATGCTTATGCTTCCTGTGTTTGTGCTCAAACTATCTACTTCCAAAATTTTTTTCTTTATAATTTCTGCAGTTGCCTTCCCATTGTGCTGTATAGTCTTTCTGGTCTGTTACCATTTCCCATCTTCATTACCTCACCTGGAGAGGGTTTCAGGAGTTCTTCTACTCCCCGAGCCCAGCCTGGGGCCAAGTTTGCAGAGTTTTTCATAGGAAAAAATAGGACCTTTGCTAAAAAAAAAAAACAATATCTCTGTTTATGTCAGTAATCAGCACATTGAAAACTGCAGGCAGTGTAAATACCTCGGTGTGGGTATTAGGACTTGGAAAAAGTCCATAGAATTTCATCACTTCATGCTAGCTTGGAACATAAATATTAGAGCAACTTTCGAACATATAAACACTAGAGCAACCTTGGAACATATAAATACTAGAGCAACCTTGGAACATATAAATACTAGAGCAACCTTGGAACATATAAACACTAGTATTTCAATACTAGGGTCAATAATTCGACCCCTGGGTAAGGTTGTGGAATTATAAGTCTAACATGTACTGCATGGATAACCTGGCTTTCTGTCCCCCCAACACAATGAATTATTATAATTGCACAACAACTTCCTGTGGGGGGGGGGGAGGGAGGCTTGCACAAGAGTTGGAAAGGAGGGGGGGGGGACTTTTGACAATCCTCCGGCTTCCTGTTCTCGTCGAGGCCACTAGAGTGCTAGTAGCTCTCAGAGGCTCAGATGAATGACTGATGAAGATTAAGCCACCCTGGAAGTGGCACGGGCATGAGTAACCCGTAAGAATTGCCGTCAGGTAAATAACGAATTATATACCCAAAGGCGAGGCTGACCCGTTCTCGCACTTGCTTATAGTCAATATTGGCTTATTTAATAAGTGCATATGTGACATACTAATTGATTGTAAATATTTTAGTTTACCTTGAAAAGCTTCATAGAAAACACCGACCTCACCTAACCTTCTTAGTATGTTAAGCATCTTATTGCTTCTTAATTACAATTATTACTTAACCTATGCCGTTGATAGGTTAAGTAATAATTGTAAATAAGAAGCAATAAGATGATCACCCAACTATTTACTGGATGGATACAATTGCTTTGGTTTTGTATACAGGAGTTTTAACATACTTGTAAAGCCACTAGCGCATATAGCGTTTCGGGCAGGTCCTTAATCTTAAATTTCTCCGGAATACGACCCGCCAAATGGTTTAACAACCGGTTCACTGCTGGGTGAACAAAGGCTACAGTTAACGATTGGCGCCCAGTCAATCCTCCCCGACCAGGATACGAACCCACATCATAGCGCTCGCGAAGCGCCAGGATAGTGTTTTACCAATATCCCACGGGGACTAAATGATGATTACCAACTATGAAGTGCTGTGCACATACTCCACTGCAACGATATACCACTGACCTATCTATATACATTATTGCCCACGTGAGATACGAATAGTATCTATAAAAAGAGATGATTTTTCACCCTCAGGGTTGTAAACCCATGGAACCGCCTACCCGCCATAGCCGTAAATTCCAAAATTGTTGAAGTTTAAAATCCAGCTGGGAAATATCACCAGGGCAAATGTGGTAGAGGGAGGATCTTTAACAAGCCGCCGGCTTCTTGTCCTCTTCGAGGCCACTAGAGTGTTAGTGGCCCCCTCAGGTAAATTCAGGCATCTGTCTATACAAATGCAAACTTTACTCTTATGCAGGCAAATTTTGTTTGGATATAAACAATAGGCTGTAGTCACGATTTCGCCAGTGATTAATGGATTTAGACATAGCAAAATCCATATTACATATGTTGTTATGAGATAGTCATTAATACGAATCCAGCTTTATTGCTATAATTAATTCATCTATTGACTGTACCCTTCAGGTTGTGAGATGGGGATAGTAGAATGTAGATGAACTTATAGCTAGTTCTTGACCTATTTTACTTCTGTAAAGGAGGAAATGTATATGTTTATCTCTCAGAATGTTCGGTAATACGTTTATTGTTTGTGATGTGTGTCTATGTATGTATTAACACGATGTACTGAACGGGGTGAGAATAGCTTGAGCTACCTCATCCCTTTGTGTGTATTTTACCTCAATAAACTTATTTCAATTTCAATTTCAAGCTTTAACTATAAATCCATCAACTTTTGTATTTCACCTTGTATGTATGTACTTTACCTGAATAAATATTTGTATTTGTATTTTTGTAATTTGAAGGTGTGTGAGCGGGTGGTGGGGGCGGAGTTTAAGCGCCCGGGGAGGCATGGTCGACACGATGGTCTCTCGCTGCTCGTCTCTGCAACTCTGTGTATTAATATGGTGTTTGTGGAGCACGTGGGCCTCCAAGCTCAACGTGCCTCGGGTCCTCCTGCCCTACAACCATGAGATACCCTCCAACTTCACCCTCAAGGTGTTCGAGGGCGGGTGTTACAAGTGGTAAGTCAACCGCAGTTTCAACTTCAAACACGAAGTGTTCGGTGGGGGGTGAGGTATACCCACACGAGTATACCTAGACGGGTATACCACACGGGTATCCCCAGACGGGTATACCCACACGAGTATACCTAGACGGATATACCCACACGAGTATACCTAGACGGATATACCCACACAGGTATACCTAGACGGGTATACCTCCCCAAGATTCGTAAACTATAACTATATCTGCCCTTAGAATAGCCAGGATTATGTTAGGTTCGGAATAAATTTCCAGCAACCATTACTGAAGCTTAACGATTTACCTGTATTTACCTGACGACCACTTAACACTTTAGGGGCCTCGATGAGGACAGGACGCCGGCGGCTTGTCGAAGGGTCCTCCATTCCCAGTTGCCCTGATGATTTTCCAGCTGGATTTTTGAAAGTTGATAGTTTTTGGCATTTATGCCTTCGGCAGGTAGGCGGTTCCATGGGTTAATAACACTTTGGGTTAAAAAGCATCTCCTTTAATATTATTTGTGAAAGATTACAAACTTATGAATTCTCCACTCTTCATATATTATAAATAAGACGGGTAGAATATATAGAGCTACTAAGACACGGAGCATTTTGGGCTGTAAGTTCTAAAAATGCAGTGCGAAATGCAGTGTGCATTAGTGGCTTTAGGCATTGTAGCTCTATCTAGAAATCCAACATTATGTTTGTAACTCATCTTGTATGTATGTACTTTTACCTGAATACACATTTGATTTGATTTGTAAAACTAGGATTGATAGAGGCAAGAGTGAAAATGTTCAGATCTAAGCTTAGTACATGCTATCTTGAACAAGTCGGTATGAGCTATTGAAGTGTTCCTTCCCGTATGATTTTTGGGGTGGGTTAGACTTGATATGTTGCGATACCTTGCGATGATTTTGGGGCTTAGGGTCCCCCGCGGCCCAGGGGGCCGCGACCAGACCATGGCTGAGGTTCAGAAATTTCACGCATAGATGTTTCGTAAATTGTAGTACTTGGTGTTTTGTCCATAAGTTATCATTCTAAAAACTGCTTTACACACTGAATTCATTTTTATTTTGTTAATACCTATGCTCAACCCTGGTCACAAAGTATGAAGATAAGTCCATCTTGTTAGGGCAAGAATTCCCAACAAATCTAAACCCAACAGTGTCACTCGGACTTAAATGGTTGAGGGAAATGTAGGTGCGACCGAGGGTAAACAGATCGGAGCACCGCCACACACGGGTGTTCTTTTGTCCACCTGTAACCTTGTTGTATAGCACAATTACCTACATGTAGTCTGCACCATTTGGACATTACTTCAATATACTTGTAAATATCTCATACTGTATACATATATTATTACATGTACTTTATTATATACATATGTACTTTATTGTTTACAGGTCATGTTCAAGAAGTGAAGTGGTGTTGCTCTCAGAAGTTATTGAAGATGACTGTGCAAATGAAGTACAGGTGTCTGCAATCAGCCGGTCTCCGTCGAGACAAACAGCAATCATATTGGCACAAGACACGGGTAATTTTTTCTCGTTAGAATACAGTATAAGCAAGCCACATTTGTTAAATTTATCAGTACAGAATATACTGATACATATATGTCTACTGTATCATTACAGTGTAATGGCTAATTAAAATATTTGTTATTTCATATAGCATAATCCAGTAACATTTTTTTTAAGACACTGGATTATAATGTACAGAATACAGTATGTTACTAGACATTTGCAAATATTCTACTTTAAGCTCAGAAACATATACTACAGTAGAGGAGTGTCGATCAAGTGTGTGATGGATGAGTGAGTGTGTGAGAGAGCATATGATATATCTTAATTTCTGAGAGAGATTGTTCTCCTTCCCTGCAGGGATGAGTGAGTGTGTGAGAGAGCATATGATATATCTTAATTTCTGAGAGAGATTGTTCTCCATCCCTGCATGGATGAGTGTGTGTGTGAGAGAGCATATGATATATCTTAATTTCTGAGAGAGATTGTTCTCCATCCCTGCATGGATGAGTGTGTGTGTGAGAGAGCATATGATATATCTTAATTTCTGAGAGAGATTGTTCTCCATCCCTGCATGGATGAGTGTGTGTGTGAGAGAGCATATGATATATCTTAATTTCTGAGAGAGATTGTTCTCCATCCCTGCATGGATGAGTGTGTGTGTGAGAGAGCATATGATATATCTTAATTTCTGAGAGAGATTGTTCTCCATCCCTGTATGGATGAGTGTGTGTGTGAGAGAGCATATGATATATCTTAATTTCTGAGAGAGATTGTTCTCCATCCCTGCATGGATGAGTGTGTGTGTGTGAGAGAGCATATGATATATCTTAATTTCTGAGAGAGATTGTTCTCCATCCCTGCATGGATGAGTGTGTGTGTGAGAGAGCATATGATATATCTTAATTTCTGAGAGAGATTGTTCTCCATCCCTGCATGGATGCTTGACAAGTGTGACACAATGGGGTACTTCAGTGAGCAGGCGAATGTTATACTGTAGTTCTGAATAATGTATAATCTTAATGGATGTATAGTACAGTACTGTTATTGAGTGTGTGTGCTCTGTAACTGCATTTATCAATTTTAAAATTTTACATGCAAGTGATTTTTCTCATAGAAAAAAAGGCTTCCACGATGGAAAAAAATTACGCTTTTCATAAGTATTTGTTATTGTTTGCAGGAAGTGGGGGAGTTTTGCGTTGTGATGTTCTCGTAGACACTATTCACCGCTTGGAGATAGTCACCACAACAAGGGAACTATATGTAGAAGAAGCTCCAGAGGAATTTGAAGTTCGTGCTTATGATGACCAAGGTAGGTAGAAAAATGGCACTTACACATCTCCAAAGATATGGAAATAAATGCACTACTGGATACTGATGTTCATTATATGGGTTGAATGGATGATGGGCATGCTGTAAATAAATATTGTATGCCTGTGCTCCTATCAAACAAGAAAAGTAAGATTGCAGTGGGGATGACATAAGTAAAATCATTTTATTATGGAATTAAATAGCATAATTGATGTGTATAGATATATTATGTCATTTGAGTACAAAGATGTATAACTAATGCAGAGTGAAAAAATTGCTAAATAGACAAATGGTCTGTAGAAAAAAAGGTGGAAGTGTTTAAGTATTGCGAGAGTGCAAGCTGGAAGTGCAAAAATGAGATGCGATGAGTCAGGTTGTACAAGAAGGAAGCGTTTCAGATTTGTTAATGCTGTTCATTGGAAGCATTTTATAGATTTGATTGTAATGGGGCCCTGGGCCTTGTGAAAGGGATTTGGCAAGTGAGCATTGTGAATAATATCTTATTCCAGAGGATTTAATCATTTATCTTATTCAACCACTTTAAACTGAGTAAGGAATTCTTTGCTTCACCCACCCCACTTATTTTAGGTAAGGATGTGCAGACTATAAATTACTGTACTTACTTATTTTGCAGGCAATGAATTTACTACATTGGAGGGCATTGAAATGATATGGGATCTTCAGACCTTGGCTGATCGTGGGTCTCTAGTGGCTGCACAGACAGTTCTCCGGTGAGGCATTATTGTAGGACTCATATTGCATCAGAGTACTTTGGTTTTAAAGTACAAAATATTGTATCACAGCACTCTTAATTTGCAGTGTTATACAGTATTGTATTAGAGTATTTTTGTTCTTTATAGTGTAACATAGTTTGTGAAATAATGTTTTACTAGTTTTGTGAGCATGGTCTCCTTGGTTATTGTCTTCAGCCAGGACCATGGGTCTAACCAGGTCACTGTTAACATGCTTGGCTCTGGGGACCTCTGAACCCCCCACCAAAGCAAGTAACTTTTCAATTGGTCTTATTCCGTAGAATAAGGTCAGGAAGCACAGTGGAAAGAATTTCTCACTTTACTACCAGAGAGAAACTACACATTATGATACATCATCCCTCCAAATACTGATTTGGATTGCCTCTGTGGTAATGGATAAGACACTTAACAAATTACTTGTTTTGGGGAGTCCAGGGATGCCAGTTCAATCCCATTACAGTCTTCAATATTTTTTCATAAATATACCACATTCTTGTGATAACTTTGTGTAGTACTTGCCTTGGTGGGTGCTTGAAGTCACCAATAGAACCTGGTTAATGGGAGTAATCAAGCTGCTGCTTTGAAAACAATTATTTGCTTCCACTTGTTACCCTATTCATATTTAATATTTAATCGCCAGATTCATGACATTTAAGGAGTCGCCATATGAGATGCCACCCTCTATTGCTCCTCTTGAAGAGAGTGGACGCATGGGATACATGGTTCTCATTGAAGGAAGACAGACGGGCTCAGCCAGGCTCTCAGTTAGGGTTGCTCATCATGCGTATAAGGTTAATATTAGTGTGTTTTGTTTTTCATATTCGGAATTACTTATCCTTTTATTAACAATGAGATTTTGTGGCGTTGACTGATTTACTCGTAATAATTTTAAAATTAAGTCAGTGAAATTATTTTAGCTACACTATTGTCGATTGCATCTTATACACACACATGAAGGGATGGATTACCTCCAGATACTTTGGTGGTGCTCCAGGGAAGATTTAAAATCTCAGTTGGGCACCATTAGATACTTCCGAGATCCTTCCTTAGTGTGAGCATCCATGGCTTGGTGGGTAGAACTGTCTAATACTTTTAAGGCCCAAGTTCCAGTAATTATTTATATTTATATGTTTTGTACTTAATTTATCTGACGGGCTAGAGTAGGTAGAATACAACTTCAGTACTTCAGTTTTTCCAAGATAAATATACACAGAATCATTTCTGGGTATGATTTAACAGTAGATTATAGGTATGCAAAATTTTATTGCATATTTGGCACGGAACATTTTTGACAAAGTTAAAGCTGCATTGCATTCTTGTTACAGAGTATTGCTAATGTGGTGTAAATGGAATTTGGTTTTCTTAATGAAACAGTTCATAATCTTAGCCTCTATCTTTACAGCACCTTGCTCCTGCTTCAGTGGACCTCATGGTTGTAGCCAATCTTCTCCTTGACCCAGCAGATGTATATGTCTTGCCCCACACTGCTGTAGAGTACACAGTGTTCCAGATCAAACAAGGACACTTGTCAATCATTGATTTACCAGGATCACAGTTTTACTTGCAAGTGTGTAATTCTTTGTTTGAATTTTTTATTACTCATATACTGTGTTTATATTTGCTCATATTTTTCTATTTGTATTGGTAATAAACATATTTTATTCCATAACGGTATTTACACTGGAAACTTAAATAATCTTTTTTTGTTGTTTATGCTTCAAATAGACTGCAGATACAAACATTGCCGAACTCAACAAGGATGGCATCAGCATCACAGCCAAAAGTCTAGGCACTACTCAGGTAAATATTGGGTATTTCTAGTCCTCTATCATTTGTTCTCTTAAACCTTCATCGGAACACATTCCTCTTTGTTTATCTCGCCTCGTACATTTGATTAATGTTATACATTTTATACCTTGTAATGATTTCAATAGTTTTGATATGGAATTCTTGTAACAGGTGATTCTGAAAGACAACAATGTGATCGCCGAGCTGGTGAAGCAGCCTACGGCCACAGTACATGTTGTGCATCCATCGTATCTTATCATCTCTATTGAGCCCCACAACAACCCAGCGCTTACTCTTGGAAAGAATTATGCTTTTATTGTTAATGTTTTTGACAAACAGGATAACAAAATCTATCTGGCTGAAGTAAGTAAGAGTTTACCAGTTTTTTTTTTCCATTGTTCCCTTAAGTCATAAACTGGCCATTCACATTTTTATCTTAGAAATGTTAACTGAAGTGAATGGAGACGAATATTAACTTTGGTATATAAAAATGATGAAGACCTGGAAAGTGATGAGAATATATGAATTTGATGTGTTTTGTTAAATGCCGTGAAGAGTCCTTATATAGGAAGTTGTAGGAACTAGTACATATTTACGAGTTAATGGTGTATTGAGTGACTGGTCTGAATTTCAAGTACTATATGTGTATAAATAAGTTCATGAAAGAGGGCAAGGCAACCATATTGTCTGTTAGGTGTTAGTTTTTTTTTTTTTTTTTTTATATATAAAGATTTATGTGGACTTGATTAAAGTTTCATTAATGTGTTTTTAAGTGAATGTTACCAAAAGTAAAGTCTAGGTGATGGATGGCGCAGAATTCTGTGTGAAATTAGTGTGAATGAAGAAGTGGTTGATCATTTTAAATGTCAGTAATGTATGACTGACAGGAAGAATTTTTTGCAACAAATTTGAAAGTAAAAGTGAATCGGGAAAGGAAAATGGCCGGTTAGGAGGAGGATTAGGAGAGGCAGCTGGAGGACTGGATGCGAGATGGTGTATTCTGGCCTATACACAGATGGTGTATTGTGGTGTATACAATCTGAGACGCGTGTGTGTGGTGTTGGAATAGATGAAGTAAGGCATGAAAGTCATGAAAAGTTATGGAGTTTATAAAGTATGTAAGTAACGAAACTGAGAAGTGTATCAAGATTGTTTGGTCATGTTGAACAAGTGGACGGCAGACTGGTGAAGAGTGGACTTGAGGACTGGAGGAGGAGAGGAAGACAAGCAGATGTGGTAAAGGCAGGATAATAATAGTTCCGGTAGTTACATTGTATTTCTTGATATTATTAGCTTAAAATGGTCATTTTCTTGGTTTTTCATTGTTGGGACTAAGTCACATATACTTTACATGTACTGTATTGTGTAATCCCATTAAATAGTTAATAAGAATTACATTATATTTCATATTAATACTTTAAGAATAAAGTTTTCATGTTTTAATTTAAATTGCATCGGAACAAACTATAATTTTAGTATCTGTGTATAACAGTTTTGTTTTATTCCTCAGAATATTGTGATTGAAACTACAGTGTCATCCGAGTATTTTACTTCAGAATATGTGTCAAAGAATGGCTCGTATGTATATGGTGTACCTATCAAGACTGGAAAAACTAAAATTCACGTACGTATTTCACGTGTTTTTCAAGTGTAGTATTTAAAATTGAATAAAAGTCTTGTAGGTTGGACTCGTGAGCCTCCATTTGCTTTCAGAATATAACTATATCCCATTCTTAAATTGATTTTCATAATATAACAAATTCCTTGACATTCTCATGCTTTTCTTTCAATAATTTTTACTGTGACAGTCCTAAAGATTATCATACTTTCATGTTTCTCAGTTCAAGGAACCTTTGAAGGTGTTAATGTACAAGTCAACAATACAGTCCTTGCATAAATGGTATCTTTATCACTCCTCATTTATTCTTATGAGGATTCTTTTAATTATTATCTTTATGGCATTATTCTGAGTACAAAACATCAAGCAGAAGTACTATAAAGAACTTGGAGTTGCTGCAAAAGTGTTTATAGTCATCACATACTTGACTAAAACTAAGAGTTATTGGAAGATTGAGCATTAGCACAATGTGCATATACAAATGGTAAAGTTGTAGAAAAGAATCATGCCTACATTGTCTGTTCCTTCTTAAGTGTCTTTTACTATGAGGTAATGTCTTCCCTGATCCTATCTTCCAGTGTTAGTAAAGAGTATGATCTGTGCTCTGGCTGTGTGTGTGTTAGTCAGCTTTGGTACCTGGAGTGTATATTGCTGTCTATATTTTAGTATACTATTGTACATGACTTTAAAGCTGGGGAATGAAGGTGGCTTCTATTACCTCCGCTTTCAGTTTGGTAAACATTTACCACTCGCTGCATGTGTATGTGTGTGTGTGTCTCGGCTTTGTTGCATTTCCAATTTCCACTTTTGCCCCCCTTGTTTTATTTCCCTTTCCCTTCATATGATTATGGCAGTCCACTTTTATTATCCTTAGAATCTTGTATGTTTTAATTATTTAATCATACTTTCTGTGGTCCATCTTTCTTCTAATGGTGTTACATTGAGTACTCTTAAACTTTCTAGAATCGTGTGTGGGTATATCCATGTAGCAATCCTATAGACTCTCATTTCTTGTAATTCACAACGTGAGGGTTTCAGTAGTGGTGCTGTGTATTATACAACTTTGCAGATAGATTGTTTATGGTGCTCTGAATAATTTGCAGTTTTGGCTTTTATATTAGGTTAGTAATACATTTACTAAGGTTAGTATACAAATATGGCATTTGCATACTTGACATTTCATAAGCTGCCAGTACTGTATTATTACAGTGTGTTTGCTAGAAATGCTAGATAGAATGCTAGATCCTCATGCTAGAATGCCCTTTTGGTCTTGTCTTTCTATTTTTATTACAATGTTCTATTTTGAAGTTTTTATTATCCATTTGTCTGCTCCATCCTACAATTTTTATAAATTGAGCCTTCTTTGTATCTTTCCTGTATTTTCTCTCTCCTGGCAGAACTTAGTGTAGAGTAGATATTCTTTTTCCTAATTTCCTAGCGAATAACGTAGCCATGGGCCAATACTGGTAGGATTTATGCCATTTCTTTCATAAGAACTCCCACAATTGACTTGAGAATGGTCCAGGATGGACCGAAACATCGTCGTCCCTTCACCTTCTAGTGTGTGGTCTAGTCAACTAAGAACTCCCATGTACATGACTTGCAAGGGTTTATCCATGTTGTATTTTATTTCTGTAACAAAGGCACTGTTAAGGAAAAACACAATTGAATTGCTGTGGTTTACTAAGAATTAATATATATTTTTTTAATTACAGGCTACTTTGTCAGCAGTGCAAGTGGGTAAGACTATATTGGAGATCACTCCACCCTTGAAGACCAGTCAAGATATAAACATATTTGATCCCATTACAGTCATACCTCCACGCACAGTTTTGCCCTGGGATCCAATCACAAAGCCACTCTATGCTCTTAATTTAACAGTAAGCATTACCTTAATTTGAGTTCAGTTTTGTATGTAACCAATAGGGCCTATGAGGCTGCTGCTGGCAAAGCATCATACACATACTGGTAGGTGTTTTGCCATTAGATCTTGAGCACCTTAAGAACATAAGAACAAAGGTAACTGCAGAAGGCCTATTGGCCCATATGAGGCAGCTCCTATCTATAACCATCCAATCCCACTCATATACATGTCCAACCCGTGCTTGAAACAATTGAGGGACCCCACCTCCACCACGTTACGCGGTAATTGGTTCCACAAATCAACAACCCTGTTACCGAACCAGTATTTACCCAAGTCTTTCCTAAATCTAAATTTATCCAATGTATGGTATGCTCACCTTGCTCACCATGCTCATACCATACTCACCTTGGTATGGGATACCTTACCGAGTAAGATGACCTCATTGCTATGCCTTGGAATGCAAGGCAAAGTTTGTAAAGACTTGAGTACTTGTGAGTGAGCTCTGTAGTCAATCTGGGATAGATTACCTGTAGACTAATTCAATCGTTCTATTAATACAGCCTGGAGTGCGGGCACACATCCTTGGTGATTGCCAGGTCTATTAGGCTTTAGCTGTTTTTTTTCCAGTTCCTTCTGCGTTTTAACATACCTATCAAAGAGGTTTTGAACGATCCCCGTTGTACTGGAACAGTGTGCCACCCTGCCCTAACCCATCATGATCACATCCAGTGGGACCTTCAGTGATCATGCCTTAGTTAGCAATTAAATATTTTGGCCAGAAAGGAACTTCTTATATTCACTTAAAGCCTTATTTTCCAATGTAAAAAATAGTATTGTTTGATGAAATGGTTTTTTAAATCTATATTTTCAAAATTATTATTTTTTTGCAAGGCAAGTTTTGTTTATTGAGATGTTTCTTAATAATCCAGGCTCCATAATTACACATATATAATTTTTAATGTTTCTTCAGGCTGTTGGTGGTTCAGGCAGTGTGATGTGGAGGTCTAGCAACACAGACGTTGTTGGAGTGTCACAGATGGGTGTGTGCAAGACGAAGGGCCATGGCTCGGTCTCGGTTACTGCATCCATGGTATTAAACCCTCATAACAAAGATGCCGCTGAGGTACGTACAATGAAATGTCTACACTAATATATATATATATATATATATACACAGTATATACACGTACTTACATGTGCCCGAAGGATGAATTGGCCAATTTGCTGGCTGCTGCTGGCAAGATGAAATGACTGCCCAATGCATGCAATAAAACTAAAACAAAATAAATATTTAGAATCTATTTAAATATATTAGTTTTACATATGCATTACATATACTGTTTGGAAGACATCAGAAAGGAAACCATACTGTACTGTTGGTTTAAAATTTCTGAATGCTAGGTCAGAGAAAACTGTCAATTTTAGATATTCTAAACTGATTATTGGGGATTAAGGCAGGAGCTGTTGTATTTAGATTTAGCTACTTTCATAGTTCCTGGCATTATTATTCAAGTTTAGCTGGTTATATAGAATATTATATTCCTCAACTTAAGTAGATTGGCATTAAAGGTGTTTTAAAGTAATTCAGTTTGAGAATGTGGCTTGAAGGTGATAATTGAACCTTGTGGACACCTTGCATGCATGCACACACTCACTTCAGACACCTTACAGACACAAGGGGACACAATGTCTGTCAGTGACATTTGTTTGGTCTTGGGTTCAAATGAGGTCCGTTTTCTCCACCAACCATGCTGCCATTTAGTGTTGGTTTGAGTAATTAACAGAGAAGTAAATGGTTTCCTTGCTATATAAACAATTGCTTGCAGGGGAAATCTAGTGTGTGTGGTTCTCTTCTTATGTATTATTATGTAAACAGTTTTTCAGTGGTGTATTTAGTTAGATTCTCCACATTCTCTCAGCCCCAATTCTGTAACAAAACAGTTTGTAATGTTCCTTGTCACTTTGCAAAATAGGTTTACTAGAATCTAGTATGTTATGTCCTTTGATGGACCGTAAGGCTTCCACTTGGGGAGCAGTGAAGAGACTAATTCACTAAAGAGCATTTCACGGTTGGGGAGCCGGTCGGACGAGCGAACAGCATGCTGGACTTGTGATCCTGTGGTCCTGGGTTCGATCCCAGACCCCGGCGAGAAACAATGGGCAGAGTTTCTTTCACCCTATGCCCCTGTTACCTAGCAGTAAAATAGATACCTGGGTGTTAGTCAGCTGTCACAGGCTGCTTCCTGGGGGTGGAGGCCTAGTCGAGGACCAGGCCGCAGGGACACTGAAAAAAAAAAAATGCCCTGAAATCATCTCAAGATAACCTCAAGATAACTATATTTAATATCTTAAGTGTTTGGGCCTCATAAAAATAAAAGGTTGTCTGTCATAAACTGTAAATGCACTGTAGTAATTTTTTTTTTACCATAACTGGGAAGTAATTGGTTAGGAAATGGGTTACCTGCATTTATCATTTGTAAAAACTTTTATAAACCCATTTGCTAAGCTCTTTACCCATAGCATCATTGTTTGCACTCATGATTTTCATTTTTACACAGATTCACATTGTAGAGGCCATAGGCTTAACTCTACTAGAAAGTGTTGTAGAGGTAGAAATTGAGGAAAAGCTGCCGCTACATGTTGCCTCTTTTACCCAGTGGGATAACATCCAGGTGCCCTTCACAGTGTGCCATCAATTGCCTCTGAAAGTAGAGCCCATTGAGCTGACATTCATTGCTTTGCCAGGTTTGTTATGAAATTAGTTTTTTCAATTTTTAAAAGATATCTGTTGAAGTATTTTAAAGATAATGGTGATTGTTTGTTACAACCACCTCATGAGTGGCTAGTCCAGCCAATGCTCTGGGGCTAGATTCACGAAGCAGTTATGCAAGCACTTACGAACCTGTACATCTTTTCTCAATCTTTGGCGGCTTTGTTTACATTTATTAAACAGTTAATGAGCTCGGAAACACCAGGAGGCTGTTTATAACAATAACAGCAGTTGATTGGGAAGTTTCATGCTTGTAAACTGTTTAATAAATGTCACCAAAGCCTTGAAAGATTGAGGAAAGATGTACATGTTCGTAAGTACTTGTGTAACTGCTTTGTGAATCTGGCACCTGGCTTCTACTGGTTAGATTTTATCCTGAAATAAAATAGTGAGTGAGTGTTGAGAGGTGTCACAATTTATTTAGCTATATTTAGCTAGTGATTTTAGCATCCCAAGAATGAGCTAAAAAATGTAGCAGGGAGTGGAAGCTGGCCTGTAGAATCCTAACACTTTAAGTTAAAGGGGGAAGCTAGTAATCCACCTTAGAGAAATCTCATGTCAAACAGGAGCAGTCTGCATTCTTTATACAAAAATTGTTTATTCTGATTGGATTAGGTATTAGGAGAGCCAGGCAGTGCACTCAAAAAGGAGTCAGTTCCCGAGGAAGATCTGAACTCGTCAAAGAAGATTTTATTGTATATATTTCGAAATTAACCTTCAAACGTCTTCCATGCACAATATATATTTTAACAATGATAATCTATTGTGATAACTGTCATTGTCAAAGTGTGACCAGTAGCTGCCAGAGCGCAAGTTGGGCTACCCACTGAAGCAGTGCCCTGGTAGAGGCCATTAAGTTACATGCAACACTGATATTTTATATAATAGATTTCTTTACTATACTGTATTAAAAAATAGGGTAGCATTTTTGTCAATCTTATTTTTATTCTCCTAAAATACTTAGATGTATATTTAAATTAATTATATACAATGTGTGTGTACATCTTCAGAAAACACACCTGAAGAAATTCTTCTGTTAACACTAAACCTATTACCAGTAACTTTTTTATTAATGTACTTTTCATTTGAAATGTCATTTGCATGTGTACATTCTCTAAGGCTCTAGAAAGGAGCTTAGAGTTGAGCCTGAAGCTATCGTCTGGTAAGCAAATGTAATGTACTGGCAACACACATTGTGGAAATTACCTTCTTGCAGTGGCTACGGTCCATCATTTAAATAATAAAGCTTTTTATTCATTATTGTTTAGTATTTTCTAATTTCAGATAATGATGATGAACAGTGTAATGTGGTGAATTAAATATATAAAAAAGAACAAAAGTAACTGGTAATTTCAGCATTGCATACAACAATCTTTACGAGTCTTCTGTACAGTACCGTAATTCAAGTACCTGCAGCCCTCAGCATCTGTGTGTGTCTGATATCATTAGATATATTGATATCATTATATCAGACTTGTCACTGAAACCCAAGTCTTGTGTAAGTCACGGATTCTAAACTCGGAACTCGCTTCGGTAATTTTCAGATGTGAGGACCCCTTCTGTTGAAGGTTCTTGTGCAGTTGTTGAAGTTGTAGGAAAGGCCCCCGGGTTTTCTTCAGTGAAGGTTTCTTACCGAAGTTCTAAAGGCGAACTTGTTGCATCAACTATGGTTGCAGCGTTCAGGTAATTTGAGCTTGAAGTGATAAAAATCGTGTTATACTTGAGAACTAATATATAATGCTTTAATTGTGAAAACAAAAGCTTAGTTCTAATAAGGAAGAGTTCTGCCAAAGGAACTGGTCTCAAAGTAGACAGTCAAATATCAATGCTCACATTTGCAGGGTTAAAATATTGTAAAATAATTTATAATTATTTATTTTACAATTGGTAGTTAATTATTGTAAAAAAAATTGTCGAAGTATCATCAGTTTTTATCAATAAGGTGCTCTTAAAATTGTTGTTCTTTTGATAGAATAATTTCTAGCATAACATGCATTTTCTTCTCCAACATGAGAGAGAGAGAAACACAGGTGACATTAGTGTGCTGTTTCACTTTATAATGTACTCGGACTAACTTGTATTTCATTTTGATGTAGAGAATTAGCAAGCCAACACTGAATAGTGGAATCTTGCTTCGTCCCTCTAATTAGTGGATGGACTGTGATCATTTCTGCCCTTTCACTGTTTATATATTTTGGAATGGTTTTCATCCTTTATATAGGTACTGCTTTCACAAATTATGTTAACAAAAAATATATATACTGACACTCGTTGATTGATTGTAGTTGCCAGTAATTAATTATCAAATATTGATTGTGGTGACATTAATTAATTATTGTTAAATGTTATTAGTATTATTTTGTGACAATGCTATAAGATTTATTTCTAAATTATTAATGAACAATAGAAATCTTCTAGATTGTTTATAAGCCCAAATTTGACCAAACATGGCTTTTGTACCATCAATTTAGGTACCTAGATACTTAACGTTTAATTAGACAAGTTTTATTTGTTTCGTTAAAGTACAAATATGTAAATTGGAAACATGTTTAGAATGCAACAATTATCTTTTTAAAAATGTGTGTGTGTGTTTGCAGGCCTCTCCGTCCCCTGAACCCATCGTCTGGAAGGACAGTGTTGGCTCCAGGGTCATCAAGGATAGTGCTGTTTGAAGGTGGACCTTTACCTTGGGTAAATAAGCGCTCCTCTCACACTGCTCAAGGTGGGTGCTCTTCAGCTAGCTCTGTCTCTCTCTCTCTCTCTCTCTCTCTCTCTCTTAAATTTAAATAATTATAATGGTTCCCAATAGGGGTAATTTAATTATTAATTCAATTTAATTATTTATTATGGTTCCCTCAATAAGGATAATTTAATTATTTATTAATTCAATTTAATTATGGTTGCCCAATAGGGTTCTTTTAATTATTATTCATTAAATTTAATTATGGTTCCCCAATAGGAGTAATTTAATTATTAATTAAATTAAATAATTATGGTTCCCAATAGTAATAATTTAATTATTAAATTTACTTATGGTTCCCCAATAGGGATAATTTAATAATTAATTAAATTTAATAATTATGGTCCCCCAATAGAAATACCTTATGATTTTTACCAGAATTTTTCCTTCTCTGTCTGATATTGGGGAATGTTTGAGGGATTTTACTAGCTGTATACAGGCGATGAGACACAATAACGTGGCTGAAGTATGTTGACCAGACCACACACTGGAAGGTGAAGGGACGACGACGTTTCGGTCCGTCCTGGACCATTCTCAAGTCGATTACTAGCTGTATATACTGTGAAGTATAGTGTATCCTCACCAAAGGTGTTAACCCGTTGGTTCCAGCTACATTCCAAACTCTTAAATGCTTTGTAGCTAACTTATTTTCTTCAATTTGTGGTGTGTACTTAGTACAAATGATCAATACAATTTTTTGCATATTTACACATTAAAACAATATATTAAAGAGTACTTTAATATTTAAAAAATAATAAAGAAAAGTTTACACAATGTAAATCAGCCTTACCCCTTTAACGCAATGAATTTAAGTATCTGATTATTTTCATCTGGTTCTTTATCGCCAAAACTTCCTCTCGTGGCAGTGAACTTAAACATCAATATTTTCTGCATTTGATTTGATTAATGGTTCTAGTTACAGCAGAAACCTCTGCTAGTCTCTCTCTTCCAAGCCTTCAATCACTTCCCTTCATTAATTTAGTTTTTTTGTCCATATTAAGATAACTCTTTCTTGGTTTAACAAGCCTATTCTTGCTAGTAGATATAATTTACACCTAAAATTAATGTAATATCCAAAGTTATGATGATCTGCACACACTTGAAAGCTCTGGTCCCAGGTTCTCAAAGCTGCACCTTGTTCAAAAAGACAGTAAAGGCCAAGGGCCTTTATTTCCCATAAACAACATGGGAAAAGTCAAACAAAGGCTATAGCCAATAGAAAGACGCCAGGCTCTGCCCTCTGCAGCAATGTACTCTAGAAGAGGTAGCCAATTTAGCTCCCGGCTGACCCTAACCTCACCTTGACTAAACAAACGACAAGGCTAGATCAGAAAAGCCAACGACCACAACGACGATTGCAACATCTGCGAAGGCATGACCTTCGTTAAGCAAAATAAGCCCCCACTCCCACACTGGTAGAAGTGGCCAGATCCCTGGAAACACAGACCGAAACTGTCTCTATTTTCCGCTTGCTACAACTTGTAATAAAGTTGTTACATCTTGGCTTAACGTGTTTATGATGTATTAGAACGTTGTTCCAACTTTCTATATTGGTTGTTATAACTGGTTAGGAGGTGTTAAAACTTCTTTGAACGTTGTACCAACGTCGTAGTTTCGGTGTGTGTTTGGCGGGATGTTCCCTGTGTTGAACAGAACTTGGTGCTCTGTCCTTGACAAAACAGTTCTCCAGGGCCTTCAGCAGCGGTGTGTTTGGGCAGGGACGTTGAGATGATCTGTGCTACGCAGGTGCAGAATGTTGCCCCTGCTCTAACTATATCGTGATCCTGTCCAGTTTAACATTAAATGATTGTGCCGTGTGGAGCAGCTGACTATCTTGCTTCAAAGTGGCTTTTCATCTTCACTCAAAGCTGATTTTTCTTGTAAAAACATTGTGACAAGTGAATTTGATTGCTTTATTATTGCTTTACTATGTCAATAATCTCATTGCAGAGCCACAGTAGATTAATAAATTAACCAGAATAATAATTATATTTCAGTCAAGATTGACAACCCAGAAAAAGTAAGAGTGAAACTTCTTGGTGAAGTTAAGAAGCATTCCGATATACACGGTGTGGAGGTTTTGTGCCGCGGTCTTGGCGAGTTCACACTCACTCTTACTGTTGGCAATGTTCCATCCCCAACCCTCCCTCATCCTCGAAGTGTAAGTTCATTTTTAATACTCCTTTTTTATAGCATAGAATGACATTCTCTTCTAATTAAGAGCCACATGTATATGATTATCTATAGTCATAAATGTTACTGATGGCCATACTCCATCTGGCTGCGATGCTGTAGTTGGCTTGTTTGATCACGACATTTTTCAGAGTTGGTCAGAATACAGTACCTCATAACCTTGATAACTTTCCACAGCACCTTGTGAATCCTTATGGTTTGAATCTTTAATACTGAATTATTAGACTTGTGTTGTTTAGCTATTCTTGTGTGCTGTATGGTCTCACACGAACTGTTTGTTTAGAACTGTTCACGTATTGTGTGGAGGCTGTGGCACAAGATAAATGTGAGCGCCACTCAATATTTTCCTTGTATTCACACTCGGTTTATGTAAGATCTTCTATACTGTATTATGATGAATCAATTTAAATTGAATAATAAGGAAATAATGGTTAAAAGCAGAAATAAATTTGTTAATGTGAAATATATATTTCAAAGGAGTTGCCTCAACTATTTCCTGTGCATTACATCCAATGTAGATCAGGATATATATATTTTAAAAATAATGCTGTTATATAAGTGTGTTATCTGTAAACTGTAGCATTGCAATAAAATAAAATAAAATAAAATTAATAAAAAATAATAGGGGTGGTAGGAGAGGAAAAGATTAAAGTATTCGGTGAGAATCCACAAGGTTTTCTCTGAACACTCTTTATTTTCTTCTTCGAGGATATGGTTCCCTTTAATAATGCCCTATATATATATTTTCTATAATATTTTATTTCTAAAAAATGAAGCACATCTATAGTAAGAGGCAAATAATTTATGGTAATCAAATTTTTTTTTTTTATAAAATTGGATGTTTGAAACTTACGTAATTTAAAAAAAAATATTTTAATGTGTTTTTGTTGAGGGCATTGAAGTGGAAAATACTGAAAATTATATTGCTCTTTCAGGTTAGTTCTACTCTAGAAGTTGTGTGTGCTTTACCAGATGCAATTAGTTTGGCAGCCATCATCAAGAGACCTGTTGCTGCTCTGTCATCTTGTCCAGCTGTAGCAGAGACTGGAGTGGTGAGTTTAGCATACAACTGTACTTCTAACACGAAATAATTATAATCCACAAAAGTACTAAACATGTAAATAAATGTAAGTCAAATTAGTGGTGAAAGCACGCTCACTGGGATTATATTGTATATGTATTTTGGTAAATTGTGATAGTAGCATTCATATTTGCCAAGACATATTGCGTCGAATGATGCATCTTTGACTGAAATGCTGACAAAGGATTACTGTGATAGTGTAATATGGATACCACCTTTTGACTACCTGTTGTTGGTTCCAGGGATGCAGCCTGGTGTCTGACCAGGCCTCTTGGTTGGTCTGGTTTGGTCAGCCGGGCTGCTGGGCACAGCTGCTTGCAGCCTAATGTATGAATTACAGCCTGGTTGATCAGGTATCCTTTGGTGTGTATTGAGTTCTCCCTTGAACATAGTGAGAGATTGGCCAGTTATGCTCCTTATGTGTAGAGGAAGTGTGTTGAAAAGTGTTGAGCTCTTGACGATAGAGTTCTCTCTCAGCATACGTATTTCATCTCTGCTTTTCAACAGGGCTATTTTGCACATCCTGTCATGCCTCCTGGTTTCATGTTTTATTTGGAGGTGCTGATATGGAATCAGGCCCTCTAATATTTTCTAGGTGTAAACTATTATGCCTCCCTTGCCTTCACTCTAGAAAATACAGGTTTATTGTTAAATGGTCTCAGTAATTTAGGTGTTTTATTGAGTGGATTCAGCCAGCAAAAGAACTTTGTATGTTCTTCGGGGTCAACAATTTTTTTCCAGCTTTTAATGGGACTGTTATTGTGCAACATTACTCTGTCCTAGAGAGCATGTATATCTTAAAAAGTATCATTGGTATGGCATCTCTTATTTGCACAAATTTAATCAATCTTTTGCTGATTCTTTGTCACCAAAGTCTCATCTCATTGTAACTTGTTAAATTTGCCTCTACCAAAATTTTTATTTAATTGCCTATTTTGAGGAACTTTTGAATTTCAGGCAATCAGAGATATTGATGCAAATATTTTAGGGAAGAAGAAAATTTTGTTGTTGTTAATGCATAAATATGGCTTGTTTTGCAATTTAAGCAAGTGTAATTCTCCTTCAGGCAAGAAAACTATAGTTTTTATCAAATGAAAAACTGGGTATAAGAATTACTGTTATGCCCTGATGTAAGCAGGTCTTGTAACTGTTACTGTAATAAATTATTATATATCATATGTTTATATTTTATATGAACATAATTTTGATTAATATAACTTAATTTAATTTGTATGCATTACAGACTGTTGCTCACTGTTATAAGCCCCTTCTGATGGAGGTGATTGTCACCGACTCTGAAAATCGTAAATTTGATAACATTTCATCGCTGGTCTTCAAATGGAGTGTTTCGAACGAGTCGTTGGCAGTTATACCCGACGAGCCTTCCAGCCTCACTCAGGTCATTACTGTTGAAAGCTTCAGTCTTCCTTTGAAAAGTAAGTAAACAAAGGCCTTGTCTTGTCATGTATGTACACGGATGCGTGCACTGAAAGTAAGGCGGGTAGTATGCTGGAGCGTCAGCTTCGTGGAGCCTCTGAGGCTCACCCACGAACTGGCGTGGGTGAGTCAGTTACCCCAGTGAGCCATTGTTTACATTTAATGCTGGTTTTTTACCAAATACAGTATTATTCTCTATTCAGAATTTTTTTTTAAGGTTGACCCAAGTTTGTGTGTTATCTAGCTTTAATACTGAAATATGAATGTTGAATGATACAAAATATAAGCAGGTGAATATTGCAAGTGAATACAAGTAATAATTGGGCAAAGTTCCCCTAACTAATATCTTGTACTGTATCTACATTTAAGAATTTGAAACTCTAATTAAACATGTGTTGTAGCTCATCAGATGCTGACTCCAACTGGTGAAGTTGGGGAAGTGGTAGTGGGTGTGAAACTCGCTGGTTTCAACAAGGTTGCATCAAAAGAAGCCAGCCAACACACCCTGCCTCTCCTCTCAGCTTCTTTGCCACTCAAGCTTGTTCAAGATGCTGTCCTGAGGCCATCGTCTGCCATTCTGTACCAACATAAAGATAACAAGGTACATGTTATAAGACTTAGTTTTATATATATAAATAAGTGTCTTTAGCTCTGTGTGTTAGTACTTGTACATTTACCATTATATTTCCATGGTGATCATAAACAAGGTGTTAGTATTCATCAGCTGATGATCACTAGCACCTAATGGTGCTAGGCACCTAATGGTGCTAGGCACCTAATGGATTGCATCATCGCTAGCACCTAATGGTACTAGCGATGATTTTAGCACCTAATGGATTGCATCATCGCAAGCACCTAATGGTAGTAGCGATGATGCAATCCTTGGAAATAAAATTTTGTTCCATTAACTCGCCCTCCAACCTAAAAGACGAACTAGTCGACGTCACTTACAGGGATGGAGCAATTTGCATAAATAAAGAGGATATTAATAAGTGTTCAGATAGTGATGTGGAATATAATTTGACAAGCTTAGGAAATAAACGAGGTACTTTTAACTATTGGAAAGGGAAGGGACTATCAGAAGAAAGTCCCAAGCCATTACAACTGTATAACACTTGGAAGGGATCAGGATAAGGATTTGAGATGGCATGAGGGAAGGAATGGCGGACGGTTGGGGATTGAATGCCGACCTGCATGGACTGAGACCATTGCTCTACCGTTCAACAACCTAGGTTGGATACTACTGGAAATGATGTCTATCTCTTTATTCCTCTTCTATAACTTTTTGTGCCTAGTACATTTTTAAATTCTTCTGTTTTTGCCAATGTGTTTCACGTGTTGACTACACATACTACACAGTAGTTCCATACATTTCTTCAACTATTGAAAACACCATAATGAACATATACTAACATATCAGATGTTATGCCTTAATATCAGATGATAATGCTCTGTAGTTATTAAGATACATGCCACTATATTCAGGCGATGAGTCACAATAATGTGGCTAAAGTATGTTGACCAGACCACATACTAGAAGGTGAAGGGACGACGACGTTTCGGTCCGTCCTGGACCATTCTCAAGTCGATCGAAGTGTCGTCGTCCCTTCACCTTCTAGTGTGTGGTCTGGTCAACATGCCACTATAAGTTTTGGTGGCTGGAGCCAGTCTTCGGCAGTAATGTAGGGCCAATTTTCAAGCATGGCCTAAAATTGGCTTTCAGCATAACCATATTAACCATAAAACAATGGGTAATATCCTGGGATGTTTTCCAAAAATATTACACTTAACATCCCATTCTTTAGTATATATATGCATTACAGTTGACTGCTGGCAAATATGTATGTACAATCAAATAAGAAACAAATGTATCCCATGGCGACTAGAGGGAAAAATATTATTGTTACTACTTTATCATCATGAAAAAGTAACTAATGATTTTTCATTTATTAATATACATTGACATTTTCAGTTGGATTTAATAGTGACTGGTGGTTCAGGATTCTTTGAGCTTCAGACTAAAGAAAATGATGTGGCTTCCCTTGACTATGTGGATAAGGACAGGATGGTCAATGTAAGTACAGTAGTCAGTTTTATTTTTTGTTAGTTCTTAGACAACAATTTGCCATAACATTTTAGGTTATTATTCCCTAATAAAATGAGAAACCTTGTCATGCATAAATCATTAATTAGAAGAATTTTGGAACATATATAATACTGTACCATCGCACCTAAAATTCTTTATTTTAAATGCATTTGAGACAATTTTTGGTATTTTTCTGTGTTCACCTATATTTATTGTTTTCTCTGAATCGTGAATACAAATTAGGAACTGATACAAATATCAGAAATTAATTCATTCTAAAATTATGTATATCCAGGAGTTTATTGAATTTGAACAAAACATAACTGTTTCCATATATATAGTTCTCATTTGTAATGGACATAAAATTTTGTGAATACTGTACTCTTAAGAATGAAGGCAAAAGCTAAACAAAAGATTGACAAGGGAAAATATTATACACTGTACTGTTCTTAGTAAACATTGACAGGGCAATGTTGTGGCTAAGAAAACATAGGAAACCACAAGTAGATCTTGTATGTGCTCATCTTCCTGTGTTTATATGAAATAAGATCTGTTTCCAGAGCCCCACCTCGGTGTTTCTTCCTGGGGCATTTATACTCGAGCCATTTCTGTATGCTGCTGCAATTGCTCTTGAAGCTGTGAATTGAAGTTGTTTCTACCACTTTTACCTTGTAGCATTTGTTTGGATGTCTTCCATTTTTTCTTGTGCTTTATGAGGCATAGTTTCTTTGCTGGTGCAGCATATTCTTGCTCTGATCTAATATGCTGTTAAGTTTTCTTACTTTATTTCCTGAATGCCATCTTGCTTTCTAGTTTTATATATGCTGTTGATATTCTCTTATTTGCTCCTGGTGTTAAGACTCATTATTTCCATTCCAAGTCTGTTTTAAGATTTTGTATCCCTACAACTGCTTCTTGTATATTGTTCTGTCCTCGCTTCATCTCTCTTTCCCAAACCTCATTGTTTTATTTTCTGGGAGGACTCCATCAGCTTGACTTCCCAGTTCTATACCTCCCTGAGTTAAAGAACTGAGGCTGCCAAGCCTCAGGCATTCCACCAGGCCTCTGGAAACCTGGGGTTAGATTCATGAAGCAGTTATGCAAGTACAGTACTGTAATATGAATGTGGACATCTTTCCTCAATCTTTGTCGGTTTTGGTTACATTTATTAAACAGTTTACAAGCATGAAAACTTCCCAATCAACTGTTGTTATTGTTATAAACAGCCTCCTGGTGCTTCTGAGCTCATTAACTGTTTAATAATTGTAAACAAAGCTCCAAAGATTGAGAAAACATGTACAGGTTCGTAAGTGCTTGCGTAACTGCTTCGTGAATCTGTTCCCTGGACTGTAATCTGGCTTTCTCTCCATTAGGCTTTTAGTAGAGATGAAGGCAACAACCCCTGCTACAGTTGAGGGAATCCTATTCCAAGGCCATGTTTCATACTCTATATAGAAGTGTTCTCAGTTGTTAATAATGCTATTGCATTAGTCTTGCAATATTTATCTAGTTAACAGTTAGCACTAATACATCTAGACAGCCATTCATTTCCAACTCACCTTCTTGTGAAAATGCCACAGATGATTGGGATTCCTCTCCTGTTCTTGGCTAACTCAGTGCCTGCCATATGCTTTTGTAGTAGTGCATCACTCCTAAATTTCCCTCTTCTTTTCTTTTCTCCCCCCCCTCCATAATATTATGAATACTGCTAACACTCCCCAATTTTTGCTTACAAATAGTTCACTCTAAATCTACTTTCTCTATCCTTAGAACATAAAGCTCTATTTTAATATTTAACTTGTGAAACCCCGACCACCAAGATTGTAGCTTTTTTTTTCCACAACTCTTTTTGTCAACTTGCTTTTTGGGCCAATTGTTACTGTCTTGAAACTTTTATCTTCCAATGCAGAGAATGTATTAGAGGTTAACATGATTAGTATGATCTTCTTAAGACTAATTTTTGATAACACTCCAAGCAAATATTTTCCTGAAGCTAACCTCTGCTCTACCTTCCTCCTGTGGAGACACACATTTCCTTAGTAATGTGACCTCTTAATGCAGTGTGTCCACTTCTCTAGTCAGTATTACACAGCTCCAGCAAACCACTTATAACACTGTTTACATAATAAATTATCTTAAAACAATTTCTATTTGCAGCTTTAACTAGGATTACACACAGAGATCACATTAATGTGATGCATCAAATGAACAAATCCACAAGGGCTGTGACGAGGATTCGAACCTGCGTCCGGGAGCATCCCAGACACTCAGTCGATTAAGGCAGTGTCTGGGATGCTCCCGGACACAGGTTCGAATCCTCGTCAAGGCCCTTGTGGATTTGTTCTTTAACTAGAATGTTTGCTTGTGATGGTATTTCTCTAGTTGTACTGATGTGCACCTGTAGCTCCTATACCTTATGGAATTCTGCATCCAGTACTTACTCCTAATACGTACCATTTGCATTCATGTACATTATTCGTATTCTGTTCCTTACTACTGGGGTGTTGGGTGTTTTTGTAGGGAATGGAGGAGCTCAATACGGCCTGGGTTTGAGGACAAGAAATGCCTGTTACATTTGAAAATTGCATTCCATTTACATTCTGACTTGCCTCTACTCGTCTTGTGGCAATTTAGATAAACTTCCCAGTGTTTACCTTGAACCCTTGGCTGCTGCTGCTTTTCTGAAGTATATTTGCTGGGCTTTGGGTTGTGAATTTTTAAAACCAGGCACACATTTCTTTCTTTGTTTTTCATATCCTATTACATTTCTTGATCGCAGGGATGCCTCTAAACATAAGTATCCATAGGATTTATTTCGTACCTCTTATCATCACATTTGTGCTTCCAAAAGCAAATTTTGTACAGTATATTGTTGGCTTGATTGAGGAGGCTGGAGATTTTCACTGCAATCCCTGTCTAGGAAAGATCTGCCTCAGGTCATTCGATCCTTGGCATATAACCTTATAAGATTCATTTATAGATGCCTGTACTTGCCTAGTTGTGCTTGCGGGGGTTGAGCTTCGGCTCTTTGGTCCTGAAGGAGGACCATAAGCCAAGTCCTCCAGACACAATTTCTAGCCAGGCCAAAGAAGGCCAAAACCTTCTTTTTGGCTTTGTATCTGTATTGGAATGGTTGTTAGAACTGTGTTAGCAATCACTGTGCATCAGTAATTATGAAGCCAATCAAAGTGCATGTGTTTTGCAGATGGAGTTGGCAGCTCAGTCACCACTTACATCCAGTCACAGCTGTTCTGAGCTCGGATGTTCTTCTTACCTACCATGTAAATGACTTGTCCATTTTTGCACAGTGCACGATGCTTCTGAATTAGACAAATTATTTAATACACACATTTTTAAAATTGCTTCGTGTGGATTGAGCAACCCAGTCTTGGCTAAATCTAAGTTGAGCTAAGGCTTTTACATTTATAATTTCAGATATTCTCTCTCCTCTCGTTTGTTCACTGTATGTTCTCTATCTCACTATTCACATCAGCACTTGGGCATTATTTTCTACTTCTTTGGATGAGTTCATGGATGCCTCTCATTCAGGGACAAACTAATTACTGTAATGCCAACCTGATACTATTTGGGGGTTTTAAGGTCTTACAGTTGTTGTAATAGATACCCTTTTCATTTCCAAGCAACTACATATACTTGAGTCTTATTCTAGCAACATTGAGTTCATTATATATCAAATTAATGTTTCTCGCTTAAGAATAAGTATTCTCATTACATTTTTAATTTATTGAGCCTCTTCTGTTTGCTGTGATGACTCTAGTCAAGGTTCTGTATTATTTGGTCATGTTAACTGAGAATTGTGGTCTTTATCCAAGACACATGATTCAGACTGTGTCTGAATCATGTGTCTGAAACATGATGAGTTTCCTCTCGAAGTTGCAGAGTTTACTTATTATAGATCCATCATATTCCAGTTAATATTCCCTCAGTATTATAAATGAATTACCAGAGCTTTTTTCCTGATAATTAGCAAAAGTTGCTTATGCTTCAGAGAACTGTGGAACCTGTGGTAGAAGACTAATTCAATTCACTTTTTGACAGATATATAATTGTATTACATTCCAGTTAAAATACCCTTGATCATTCTAGCTTCAGAGTTGATTTTTTTCTAGGCAATGTTTACTAAAATTGTTTAATGAATTTAGCAGGTTAACCTAAAACCAAAATAACTGATTAATTATTTATATGCTCCAGCATCATAGTAAGAGTTATTATGGCAGGGGCAAGCCCATATTTTTTTTTTATCCGTGAGGCGAAAACTGCACCTGGCTGTCCTCCTTCCCACACTTTCTCAACCAATTACACACACCCACTTTCCCCACATCAGATCCCCAGCCATCCCTACCCAAATCATCAGCCCACCTATTCCATACCCATCAGTCCACCTTACGTATACCCTTCCACCCACCACACTCACACTGTGTATTCAAAGTGTAAGTTGTTAATTTTTTGTTTAGAATATTCAGTGTGTATTGCAAGACATTCGATAAGCTTGGTATAGGGTCCAATGGTCTCTTGCGACTGTCTGTGGTCAAACGTGTCATTTTTAATATATTGTTTGTTTTTACTGGGTGTCCATTGAGGTAGAAAAGTGTGTTCATTGTAATATGTATACAGTATTGCTAATGATTTTTTATTCCTTATTGCAGGTTTACCCTGTGTCAGATGGAGAGCTGATAGTTGCTCTTGTAGATGTATGTTTACAAGCAGAGAGCCCTGCTACTTCACATGTTAAGGTAATTTTATCATTTGTTGACCATTAAGGTTTCCTTGCTCATCCTGAAATTAACTAATCTTTATTTTCCATTCACATATAGAAATGAACATTTACAGTAGAATTTTGATTGCAAAGAATTTGTTTCTAAAACAACCTTAGTCATTTGGAACAGGGGTGTCTGGATGAGTTTGTGTCATTTTACCAGACATATATTTGCATTATATTAGCGAGTATAGTTAAGAAAAAAAAAGTTGGATATTAGTAAAATTTAATTTATTTTCTGAGCAGGTCTCTTAGTTACTTCATAAGTTAGAGCCATACACATTTATGTATAATACACATACATATATTTTAATGTGTACAGGTCAGAAGGTAATGTTATTTTTTTTTCTAAGATTGCCAGTATTGCTTCTCTTGACTTGGTGATGGTGGATCGAGTGGAACTTGGTGGCGTGTTAAAGGCTGAAGTGTTGGCAAAAGACACATCAGGCCACTCACTGCCTGCGCATGACCTTATGAATCTTGTACCTCATCCACAAGCAAATATCATTACAGCAAGGTTAGTTTTTGTTTGGTTTTATTGAGCTATTTTGTTCTTCAGTAAGGTTTCTCTTAAAGTCTGATGCAAAATCTTGATTTTTGACATTGATATATATATGTTAATTGTAGTCGTTGGCATTGTGTTTCTGCTGGATTACTTACAATTTCTTAATGCTTCAGATATCAAGGAGCAAATAATAAAGGTAACGCCGTGTATGAGGTTACCGGTCGACACGTAGGAGACACAACGCTGCGTGTGAGTGCCGGTAATGGTGGCTTGGGTGAAGCTCTGATATACAGCCCAGCTAAACCTATACAAGTGTTTCCACCACTAGTATTGCAACCTCGGAATATTACTCTCATCATTGGTGCTGTTTACCAGGTACTCTACAGTGTTTGTTTTTCCAGCAAGGGATTTGTAGTTACATCTCTGTTGAAAACATTCCCCATATGTTGACGAGACCACACACTAGAAGGGGAAGGGACGACGACGTTTCGGTCCGTCCTGGACCATTCTCAAGTCGATCGACTTGAGAATGGTCCAGGACGGACCGAAACGTCGTCGTCCCTTCACCTTCTAGTGTGTGGTCTGGTCAACATAAATTAAGCCATTTTTTACATTCTGGATACATTTGCATATTTTATGTATAATTATTTGTAAAATATTGATTTTAATCATATCTTCACTTTAAAGTACAATATTTTTATATTAATGAGGATAACAATATTTGTTTATTTCAATGTGTTGAAATCAGTTTAAAATATGAAAGTTACAAAGTAATATTTATAGTAAAAATAGGAGAAAAGGGTAGTAGAAGTTTAGGAGTAAATGTCTTGAAATAATATAACATCTGTCTCAAGTCTCGTATCTATTAGAATGAAGCATCTGAATCGGTTGTAACTATACGTGCATTGGTCATGCTTGTGATGATATTTTATTCATTATATTTTCAGGTGGAAACAAACGGTGGGCCGTACCCAGATGCGAGTGTGGAATATTCGGTGACTAATGAAACGATTGCCAGCACATCACATGCTGGAGTAGTGACTGCGCTCTCTCTGGGCACAACAGTGTTGACTGCTCAAGCTGTCAGTGTTGGCAAAGAAACTGGTCATAAGATTGTTTATTCACAAGTAAGTCATGCCTCCTTGCTCCATAATGGTTAGAAATGAAGTATTGATGTATGTGAAAGCTGTATTGTCATTACTTTTATTTTTTCACTAAGCTTACTATATAAGGCCTAAAAAAAAGAATATGTGCCACCAACTAATCTAAATATATTTCAAATTTATGTTTAGAGGTTTCAAAGTGCAGTTTTGTTTATTATTATTTGACACAGGATACGGTGATTGTCAACGTAATTCCTTTTGAGAAAATTCGTATCTATGCTCCACTGACGCATCTAGAAACTGGCACAACGATGCCAGTGTATGCCCTTGGTAGTGAGGACCATCAGAATCCTCTAGCATATGCTACAGCTGGTCCTCCTTTGGTCTTTGAGTGGTCCATTAACAACAAACAAATTGCTTCATTCATTGGAGTGTATGACAAGGTAAGCTGCACAAAACATGCTTGCTTTTTTGTGTTGGTAAGGATGTGTGTGTCCGCGTCCTGTACTGCTTGAGGTGCATTTGTTGACAGGCTCTCAACCATAGCCTGCTTTTTTTTTATGTACCGTGTAATGAAATTCATGCAGTATGTTTTATACAGTACGGTGAAATTAAATATGATTATTTTACTGTTTTATACTTTTAATTTTAAATTAAACTGCAGTACTGTATTGATTATCAGTTACATTATTATTATTGCATGCTTGTACTTGATTGCCACTTCGGTTAAAACTTGTATAAGCAATGCATTTTCTTCGGTTGTTTAATATTAAAGCTCCTTATTATCATTTATTTCAGAATGGACTTCAAGAAACTAAGGAAAATAATGGTATTGTAAGACTGAAAGCGGAGCGACCAGGACGAATCTCGGTGACACTTAAAGTAAAACCTGGCGTTCCTGCGAGCCACCCGGACTTCCAGATTATAAATAATGCTGTTCTCACAGACACGCTAGAAATCAAGGCAAGTATTATTTACTCGGTTGTTTCTTTGTGTATTCTTCATGTCCATTAATGAAGACTGAAGAACATAGGGCAGAAAGCATGTAACAGCAACAATAACATCATCGTTTACCAATAAATTCTTTGTTCAATGCAAATCAACCAGGTACTAAATGTTCTTATATATTATAAGACATAATCTGTCACCTTCATTTGATCGACTTCTTTCCTGTGTTTTGTCCCTATATGAGCACAAGCCCACTGAATCTCTTAGATCTGATAAAGCCCTTACAGGCAAAAATGTCATTTGCTAACTCATCAGTAACTATTTGAGAGTGTGATTTAGCTCTATGCCCCACCTCCTAGCCATTTATACATGGCGCACTAATTGTATCTTAAACTTTTCAAGTTCCAATCGTATTTTTTTCAAGTTGTGGATGGAAGCGGCTTCGACAACTGCTTCCTTCACAGCATTCCACTTTCTGACCACCCATACAGGGTACGAGAATTTCCTTACATCTCTAAGACTCAATCTTGTATCCAGTCCTGTTGTCCTTCTTCCTTTCAAATTAATTAGGCTGCCCTTCTCCTTGTTGTCTGTTCCCCTACATGTACGAAAATATGCAAAAATTAGGTGAAATTAGCTGGGAAGATTGTGTAGATTTTGGTGGGGTTTCTATCATTGTATTTTTAATTGTTTTGGTGAGAAGAGGGGGTACAGGGATATTTGTATTTTATTTAATATTATTGCAATTAGATAAGCTGTTATAGGATACCAGGATAACTTCATCCTCCCTCTACTAAATGTGAGATACCTTCATTCAGTGAAAAAATATATAGTTCATCACTATATAGTTAAGCTTAGCAGCCAACGTAATAGATATTTGTGTCTGCTTGTTTTCAAGATTAATTTTAGATGTCCAGATAGAACCACAAAGGTTGAAGTCTATGTTGGGATAAAGTTTTCAGTGGAAATACAGGAAGAGTTAGAGTTTAGAGTTATAATTCAGGTTTAAGAGTTTTAAATCCTCTCTGAAACATTAGTCTGCTATCAGTATGCATACAAGAACAGGCGAATCAAGAGGTGTCTGTCAATGTATAAATTTGTTTTAAGTTGTTGTATTGAAGTTGTATTTGTTTGGGAAACATTACAAGTTGATTATGTCGTTCTAACCCAGTCGTTGTGCTGACCTGATATCAGCTTGAATGTTTAATTTTATGTATTGGCTTAACAATAATTAGTTTTTTACATTGACTAAAGACAAGTTTAGGACTAGGATTAGCTAAACTTGTAGATTTTGTTGATTTGCCCTGAAAGATGTACAGCATGTGATCTTGGATCTCATTCCTCATTGCATTAAGCTATTTTCTTGTGTGTATGCAAGCATGTTTGATAATTGCTTAGTGCTCTGTATGCTTGCATGTGCTGCTAAGTGGGGCACTATATAAATATATTTGTCTTTATGTAAAAAGTTTCCTGTATGTAAATATGTAATATTTTCTATTTTCAGGTATTTGAATCATTAAAATTGAAGTATCCTGGTGATGGATCATCGCAGCTGCTGTTATCTCCTCATGCTGAGGCCAAGATAACCACTAACAGGTACAGCTTTTTATCCTAGAGACACTCTCCCAATTGTGCTTGCTTCAGTTGAGTTAGTCATGTTGATGCATGTGTTTACAGTATATAGTTGTGGTTTGTAAGCATGAATTACTACAAGTAAGAAACCATTATAAAAAATACTTTTAAAAGGATTATAACTACAGTACATTATTTGCAATTTTGCATGGGCTGACTTGTTATATAATTGAGGTACATAGTTAATTGTTTCATGACTGTAATCGTGATTCTTAGCTCAAGTATAGTCCTGTTCAGTGTTCACAGGTTTCACTTTAGGAAAAAAAAATGGGCCTCTGTAATCCTTTCCACTACTGCTCACAGGATGGGTATGGGGTGCATAATAATTTAACTAACCGAATATATAACTAACTGAACGAGCTGTGTGCTAGGAAGGTGGACGCAAGGAGAAAAGTGAAGTCTATTGGATCATCCAATCCTTTTGTTTGGATATTATTGTCATCCGGGGGGTAGTGGAGAGTTTCCTAATTGGTGCAGTAATTTAGCTGTGATAATTGGCTGTCTTGATTTTAGTGATCACTTGGCAGGAATATTGAGTGGTTTGATTCTATTGTTTGTATAACTGTTATTTCTGTTTTCTCCTCCACAGAGAGGAGGAGGTTATTTCTCCTTTTCTCTCCTCTTTGTGGCAAGATCATTTGAAAAGCTTCTTGTCACAATGGAATAAAAGTTGAGTAGTCAGGCATGTGAGCAGTCTTGGGTGGACTGCGGCATGGCTTGGGAAGTAACTGAGAAAGTTACTTCTCTGTTGCTTCTGTCTTGTTCAGAAACAGTACTGTACATACTGTGCTGGATGGAGGCACCATGGCCTGAAAACTGACTTGACATACTATCTAGGTATATTTGGATTGTACCTGAATGAAGTTCTGGGAGTTCTACTTCTCAAGCCTGTGGCCAGGCTTGGCACTCACTAGATTATATAGATTTCTCAAATATACTCTTTATTGAGAGTATATTTGAGAGGTATAAGTGTAAATTGCTTATGGTGGGAGATGGACAATTAAATTACACTACTAAGAAAGAGAATGCCGAGCTCTAATTTATCTGATAAATTTAACGTTTTGAAACATAGAGGAAGGGTTTGTGATGTGACAGAAGGTAAGGAGTGGAATACATGGCTGCTTGTAAATTGCATATGTGATTTGTATTTGTTGGTAGTAGCAATTATTAACTTATATAAAGATAACACTAAATCAGTTATTTTGCCACCAACTTTTTTTTTCCCTCTTCAATCAGAGATGTTGTTCAGCATGCTATGTGGGGCGTTAAGGAGACACGTCAACATAATGATGCTCCTCCAGCAGGGTGGCTAAGGTGTGACGGGGATTTTGTGGCTGGTCTAATGCTTCTGATTTTGCTTCATGCTCAGACAGCCAATTTTTTTTTTTTTTTTTTTTTAATGATATTGCAATTCAACCAGTTTTATTATAGAGCTTGCTTCTGACTGTAATCCTGTTGCTGTAGCCCATCCTATATACAATACTCTATAACATTTTAAAATTGACATGGCTTACAAATACAGTAGCTTCCAACTCCAGCCTACTAAGATCTTCTTCATTGGTCAATAGAAATTTGAAAAAGGATTATTTGACTGTTAAATTTCTTGGCATCTTTCACAGTTGTCTTTCCGGGTAATAACTTTAATTAATCTTCATAGCTGTTTTACATCTCAAGCTGATTAAGCTTGGCTCTTAAATATCCTTTAATCTGTAATTTATTGTTCCATATTTGAGCTGTTATTCACCAATGTACTGTGTTATGCTGAGTTAACTGCCAGTGGTTCTCTGCAAGGGGTCCTGCTTTGTTTACCTTCCTGTCTACAGGTGTCAAATGCACATCTTTATTCAAAACAATTTGAATTTAAATTTTTGGAAGTCTTCTTAACAGCATTTCTTAACAAAAAGAACGAGAAGTTCCTGCCCGCATGTATTATTTAAAATTATGCTAAAATTAAAGTATAGGCATGTTTTATATGGTCATATATGATTTGTTTGAGCTAAATAAATTGCCAATGCACACAAACGAAAAAAAAGGGAAAATGTAACGACGGTTCAGCCTGTTGCGAACCTTCAAGTTGCAAATTGATAAGGGTTGATTGGGTTATATATTTTCAGGCATGTTATTGTGATTCTTTGCTTATAGCAAAATATTTTGTTTTATATTATGTTCAGCAATAAGCGCTTAGACTTGAGCTTTTCTTCCCTCATTAAGATGACTTTTCTGTGGCAAGAACTTTAGTCAAAATTGTGATGACTAAATCACACATCAGAAAATGGGGAAACAACGATGTTTCAGTCCATCTTGGACCATTACCAAGTTGTGTGTGGACTAAAATGTTATTGTTTCTCCATTTTATGATGTGTGGTTTGGTTATCATATCTTCAGCCACGTTATTATGACTCATCGTGTGCATTTTATTAAAGTTGTTCATACGTATCCTCTTGTTTGTCGTAATATTTGCACAGACCTAGAGCATTGAAATTATTTTTGTCAACTTATTACATTGTGAAAGTTGAATCTTCAAGTGTGTCTTGTAGGTGGTCAGGTCTCTGCCTTAAACATCTTGCAGCTCTGTTGCTTCGTCACAGTCTTAAGACAACCCTTGTTGTGCAGGTTACTGCATATCATGGCAAGACCTTCCATTAATATATTCCTTAGTATTTGATTCCTGTTATACACATTAGTCTTTATTAGTTACGTTTTATATGTTTTTTTTTTTTTCAGAGATGGTGATGGACAAGTGTCGTATAGGATAGATAAATGTAATGGAAGTGAAGGGAAGACCCCTGAGGTGATTACTGTAGGCCATGATGGCATTGTTAAATCAGGAAGCAATACCGGCCAGGCAACAGTTATAGTGACCATTGAGGAGAACTATGGAGTTTCACAGAGTTTATCAGTCTTGGTGGAGGTAAGACTTGTTGTATTTTGACACATTCTCTTGGGATGAATGAAGTGAAGTGACACTTATGTAATATTTTCCGTGAACATGATAAACTAGGTGACGTAGAGAATATACAAAATTAAATTGAAGAATTATAAAATCTATATATTGTCCGTGTGTTTTGGTTCTGTAAAAATGTTCGGTAATCTTGAGTGTAGCTCAGACACTACTTAACGTTTTAAACTGTCAATTAAGCCCTAAGGTACAGGCTTGTAAAACAATTGGACAAGTGGCTCCTTGCATACATTCTTGCCCATAAATACTCTTTGGGTTTATACCAGGTAAAGAAATTCTCAGCACCACACACACACACACACAAGACCCCCTTAAAAACAGGACATATAGCAGGTACTGTGCTTGGAAAATGGTAAAGTATAAACTTCTTATATAATATACATAAATTGCCAAATAAAATGTGTTTTCTTCCTCAGGTTAAGAAGGTTAGTTACATGCAAGCTGAAGTAGAACGCTTCATGAGTGTAACCTCAGGAGAATTAGTCAAAGATCTTCCCGTTGGGGCAAAAATGCAACTTTATCTTTCATACCACGATAACCGAGGACGAGTTTTTCATGCAACAAATTCAAAGTCAGCTTTTAGATCATCAAGGTAATATTTTACAGTAAGAGTATTTATATAGTTATTTTGATTTTATAGTTTCTTATATTAAAAAGAAATGCAAAAGAATTATTGACTTACTGAGGTTCAGTGACAGTAATGGACGCTTTAAGCTTTATTGTTACATTGTAATCTGAATATTTTTCAGATTTGATCTTGTTGGTGTCAGTCATGGAAAAAGCAATGACTCGCTACTGGTAGATGTACGAGGCTCCGGACATACCGTGCTGCACATGTGGGATGAAAACAATGACCTCATTCGTGACTACCTACACATCATTGCTGGTCCTGTGATAGCTCCTGACAGGGTATGTTTACATGCTATTTTCTTCTTCAAATGTTAAAACTTTTCACACATTTTGCAATACTTTGAATGCTCCTCACTTTCTGTTCTCCCTTACTTCATTCTTTAACTCTCCTCATCCTTTCTGTCCCTCAGGTGACAGAATTGAAGTATCCAAATAGATGCAAAGGTGTAACAAAGGAGATATTAAAAAGGTGTTAAATTTATCAATACAAAATGAAATGCAAAACAGTGGATATAAATTGGATAAGTTCAGGAAAGACCCGAGTAAATACTGGTTGATATCTGGAACAAATTAGTGGGTAACATGATATATGTGGCATCACCTGATTGTTTCAAGCATCAGTTAGTCATATATGAATGAGTGGGTGGATATAAATATCAGCTACGTTGTAGAGGCCACCAGGCCTTCTGCAGTTTACTTGGTTCTTATATTCATAAAAGTGTTATATTTCTTATATAATTTATGATAAAATAGTTTGATGGGTTTATTGTGTATAAAGAGTTAAATGGATGTAGAGCTGGTAAGGGATACTGAGGCAAACTGCCACTCATAATTTACCCCCCATTATTTTTTACTTCTCATTGTAATAATCCTTATTTCTCCCATCTTTTACTTTATTTAGGATCAGATAGTGTGACAAGATATATTTTATTGGATTAGGTTAGGCTATTTTTTCAAGATTTTGTTTCAAACATGTTAGAAGCCTGGAGAAGCATACCTGGAGAGGGTTTCAGGGGTTGTTCTACTTCCCGAGCCCGGCCTGGGGCCAGCTATGTGTTGACACCAATATTATATGGTCTTGTTAGAAACCATTCACTCCATTTTCTTTTAACTTACCCACTCAACTTTTTAACTTAACAGGTACAAGAGATACTTACCCTTACCCAATTTCATCCAGATATAGCAGAAGGCTACATGATTGAGATTTGGATAATAGGAATTACCATGTACTTATATATATGAACAAATTTACTTGTATATATGTACACAACAAATTGCCTGTTAAATAGAAGACTGGAGTTAAATACGTAAAATTTAATAAAAGCCTTGAAATATTAAAAATGATAGTAACTGTTCTTAGAAAGTGCATTTGCCGCATTATATATAACGATCATTGAAATAATTGTGTGTTTAATCTGACGTGTGTCTGCTCTTTTCAGGCCGTTTTACCTCTTGGCAGCCATGTTTGTATGTCTTCACATATTAGAGGAGTGGACGGATCACCAGGAACATGGTCAGCAAGTGGGGATATTCTCACACCAGATCCTGTTTCCGGAGTAGCGTCAAGTCACCAGATTGGCCGCACCTCTGTGTCGTATGAAGTAAACTCGGCACTGACGATGACAACCGAAGTCAACGTTTTACCAATTAACCAAGTGAGTTTGTATTTCCTTTCCTGAGAGAAGGAAAAAAGTTACATATTTTTTGTTTGTTGGGTTTTTCCAGTAGAAGAGATACTGAATCTTTGTTGGCAAACATATCCCAAATAGTGATTTTATACTAAGAATAAACAAATAATAATAAAAGAGCATGTATATACCTTGTGCTGGGGATCCTTAAGTAAATTTGTTTATTATGAATTGGTTGGTTTCAGTTTTATCTTATAGTTTCAGTACTTTGTTTAAACCCACTTTGTGCCCTTGACACCGAAGGCTTGCTGAAGGCTGCTAAGGTCCTTGATCACCTACACAGGTAGAAAATGTTTGCCGAGAGATTCCTGCTAAGCTTATCTCATCATTTAACACCCTTCAAGAGAATGCATCTTGAATGCATTTAATATATTAGTAACTTTTTGAGAAAAAGTCATAATGCTGGTGATTAAATGTCAATCTTCATTGTATGCTTTTAAAGATAAATTTGTGACCATTATCTATTGCACATGACCAAAACTGTCAAACAATCAATGTGACACGTTCCTCGTGCAAGGTAAAGTTGCAGGATATCACTAGCATTCCTATTGCTAATGCATTTAGATATATAACCAAATTCCCTACTGAACTATTGAGAAAAGAAGTGAAACAAAGAAAAATGCACAATAAAAAAAACAAGGAAATAATTGTATACTATATGGCTTTTCAATAGGTGGCATGCACAAACTATGTAAGCCACCAGCATTCATAATTATGGGACAAAGAACTTAAACATTGTGGAAATTCAAATGAACCAAGAAGAGCAAGACTAGTAGTTGCAGGCATACAATCAAAGACCTCATTTCATTGTAGTCATTATTAAGCAAACACATTCTGCTGCCTTCCTCCTCTTTCACCACCTCCACCTTCCTGCATCTTCTTCATTATGAACACGACCACCACCATGTACTCATTACAATCACTGATCATTATACTAGTACGTACTCATTACAGCACCCTGTAATCACTACACCCCTGTACTTATTACTCGGTTCTGTTCATATCGTTAGCTATACTGGTCTAGAAATCCCTTTCTTTTTTATTTGTTTTATATTATTCATGAATATACATATTCCCAGTAGTTAAAATGTAAATAGAGGACTTCATGGTTACAGGTATTTATTGTATTAATTTCAGATCACTGTTGTTAGTCCTCCAGTGGCTTTAGTGAATGGACACCAAGGTGACTTTGAAATGGCAATGGTTATGTTGGAAGCAGAGGGAAGTACATCTTCTGGCTGCCTCCCAGTCGATCCTCCAGCAAGTTCTCCTCCATTTACTTGTGTTGTAGCTTTCTTCCCACCCCATCCTGAGGTTGATACGAAGAATGTCTTGGATGCAACAGCTGTTTATGTACCAGAGAAAGGTAATGCTAATAGTTTGGTGGAGGGAGAGTGGAGGCGAGCAGGATCTGTTTGTACATCATGGTATCTCAAAATATCGTGGATATCTTCAAGATATCCTTGTATCGCGTAGTGCATAGGTGCAGATTACACATCAGGTACTAAAACATGGCAGAATAAGTATCAGGGATTTCTACAAGTTATATATGCTGTAGTGGTTTATTTGTTATTTGTGTATACAGCTTCTGTGTATGATTTAGGTGATTACCTGTAGTTCTATCATGCTGTGAGATGAAACAAAAGGCATATTGTAATAAAAATGCCAATTATACTTCTTCACATTGCCAGGCAAAGTAGTTTTACAAGTCTTTCAGATAAGCTTTTTAATGTTGATTTAATTTTATTTCATTTGATTACTTAGTTAATTTACAAAGCATATTGCAATATTGTATGTGAATGCTGATTATTTTTTTAAATGTTTTATTTCAAATTGCATGTCTTTTCTGAGTGATTCTACCTGAATGTTACTTAGGCAAGTTCACTGAATATTCCATTGGAAAGGTTCCATTGCAGCAGGAATGTTTAAAATGTTCCTGTGATACATACTTGTACTAGGGAGGCACTAGAGAAATACTTAGTCTAACCTAGTAGGATCGCAGAATGTACACTCGTGAACATTTAAAGCCTTTCCAAGTAAGACTTGATATCGCAAGGACCACCAAGTAGCACTCTCGAGTGAGTAACTCGAGGGTTACTCGCGTGGACGGACTCGTTTTCCATGTGACCATCCACTGCCACCAGATGGCAGCACCCTGGCTAACACCAGGTTCCTAGCCTGCCCTCACATTCCTCCTTATTTATCCTTGTGATGATTTGATCAGGCTCAGTACTAGATTCAGTTATGTGCCTTGCTTTTTTATCCCTTTTATATGCAGTATGCTTGTGATTTGTACTTTGTCACGCATTACATATTTTTGGAACACTTCTTGTGTTGCCAGACATTTTGTTATGTGACTTAAATGACCAGAAGACTTGAACTTCCCTTCTTTTTTCAGTTTATTTTGTTCGGCAGTCAGTTTTCTCATCGCAAAATTCCTATTACAATACATCCTCGATAGCAAATATTCCATAATGCCCAACAAAAAAGTCCAAATATCCAATTGGAGATTTGCCGAATTGAGGTTACACTATAGATTTGTAATTTGTGTCCTTTGCTCAAAGACTAGAATCTGTGGGTCTCTGGGATATGTTTCCCAGACTTTTTGCCATGGATGAGCCTAAGCCTTTGTTCTGTGTGATTGGTTGTGTGCCATGTGCTCCGGGTCCTTATTCTGGGTGTTTTCAGTTTCTGGTCTGGGTGGGGGTCCCAGGTCTTTGGGCTGTGGCCCCGATGTCTAAGAACTGGGCTCCACATTCTTCTGGGGGTGTGCATTAGTATTTCAGTTTGAATGCCCACTTTGTTGGAAAAGGTGGGGCAAGCCTGTTTGTTTTGATGCTTTTTAAGGGGGATGCTTCCTGGTTCACCAGAATCTGTTTGAATCCACCTGGCCCTTCCTCATATTCCATTGTTGTACGAGTTGGTGGTGCGAGATTTGATTGCTGGGCTCTTTGGTGGAGTTTAGTCACCAGGCCTGTGTTAAATTGATCATTACCAGCAGTGGGTTTGCCAGCCCAGTGAAGATCCTTTGTGGAGCTCAGGGTTTGAATGTTGGGAGTTTGTTCCTTTTCTTTTTTTCAGTTCCTGGCAACCCTTGGAGGTTGGTCAGAAACTGTGTATGCTTTCCGGCTTCCTTCTTCCAGTTGGGGTATGCAGGGGGTATACCTGTTGGATATGCAGCACCTCTTTGGTTCAGCTTCACTCACCACGTTTTTCAAATCTGGATTCTTTCAAAGTTTTGTTGCCACAACAAAGTCTTGTCTTTTGCCACCAAGCCTATGGCTTGTGCTTTCCCAGTTTGTCTGTGCCTGCTGGGTAGAAGGTGAAGCAATAGCAATACTGTACCTGCTATCTGTGATCATTGTATTTAGAAAATTACATCAAACTTTAAGCACATAAGCAGAAATGTTTTTGGAACTTTGTGGCCATTCACTTAAAAAAATAAAGTTATAGAAAAGAGAAGACATCAAAGATTTGAGGAGATAAATATGAAAATAAATCAACACCATTATTGTATAGTTCATATCTAATGTTGAAACTAATGTCAATTCTGTTCATTATTCATAGGTTATGCTTGCAAGATCAGCTCACTTGTTGGCCCGTCATCCAATTTAGCAACACTGGACTCGACAGTAATTATTGAAGCCGTTGTAGTTGGCAGAGGTCAGCAAGGAGAGGTGCGGTCTGGAGAAATAGCAGTTCCTTTCTACCCCTCACCCGTCAGTGACATTTCTGAAGTAAAACTCACGAATGAAAAGTCGTCTTCAACTGTCCTCTTAGAAGGAACAGCAGAGGTCCTTGATAAGCTGCAGGTCTGTTTTCTACTGTTGCCAGTGTACTGTGTTTACCTATCACCCTTCAGGACTACAAGATTATTTGATCTTAATGCAGTATTGTGCATGAAAGTATTCCAAGAATTCAGTTATCCATGAGATGTGTATTCACCGTACTGTAATTGTTCCTGGATTGATTTTTAGTGGACAGTCCGAATTCCAAATGCTGTGTGCAAATGCATTTTTCACTCATTTCCAGGTGCTTGCATGTGGTGTTAATGGTATGGAGGTGTCCTTGGGGTATGTGAAAGACAACACGAGACCCTTGATCATCTCCTCCAAAAACTCTCTGTGGACTTCAGAATTACCAGCGTCACCATTCGTGGTGTCTGTGAATTCACCTCTCACTAAGAATACCATTGATGTTAGTCCATTGCATGTGTTTGAAAATTAATTTTCCGGAATCCAATAAATGGATTCACTTATTGTGAGTTCATTTATTGGTTCAGTGTGAGCCCACACGCTGGACCAATAAGTGAACAGTGTGGGGGCTTAAGGGGGGAATTCAGCATACAGTATGCAAGATGAAAAGTAACTTAAATTTCATATTCAAAATAACTATGGACTTGGTGATATAAAATCTCCCTGGTTTAATTATTTTTAATTAATTTCTCCATTTACAACTTCAGTAAGGTTATGAAACACCATCCCCCCCCCCCTCCCTTTCCATTTTTTTCCTTTGTATATACTGGTATATTTTTTTGTTTTCCTTTTTCCCATTTTCTCATATCACTGTCTCTTTCTGAGACGGTGATATAAGGAAGAAAGTTACTAAGTCTGAATTTTCCCTAAACAGGTCACAGTAGAGTTGGAGCAAGTGGGAGATGGAACGTGTGCTGTGCCAAGAGTAGACCTGGGAATCGTCAGTCTTATTGTGGCTGTAATCACTAACTATGACAGGTTTCTTGTTAGCGCTGGCTGCCTGATCCTTACAGTAGCGTGCATCCTAATCGGTAAGTACGCAGGTTAAGGTCTTCTTCTAATGTGTTTGTTTTCAGTAGAATCAAAAATACTTGTAATACCTTTTAGGAAATACCAGGGTATTTAGATTTACTCAATTAGGTGATGATTTCCTTCATCACAGTCAAATTGCTGGAGCTACCAGGCCCAAACTCTGAAGGGCAGATGTTTGTCAAGCATTTTTGGATGTTGAAGCTATGTTTTCTGTTCATTTGGCAAAAGTTGTGTATTACAAGGGATAGATATTTTCAGCACTTAACCATGTGAAAGGAATAAGGAATCGTAAGAGAAGGTTGCGATCACTGCCTTAACCTCACTCTGCCAGCTCACTTTTAGAATCACAGTATTTATTGTTTTGGCATTACAAAGTTTGCATTTCTTCAGGATTTTGGTTTTATTATGAAATAATGCAGAGTATGTAGTGAAGCCTGTCATTCATCATGTACAAGCGATATTGTTACTTTAATAATCCATATACTGTACTTCCCATTCTTTACTCTATGTTTAGGTGCTGCCTTGGCAAGGAAAGAAATGAGTTTTTAAGAAATGAGCTGGATTTGTAATGTTATAACTAATAAGGCTGGTTAAGATTATTACTTGCTGCTTTATGTGCTTGAGGTGAATCATAATTTTGTTATGCATGACAGTGTTTAAATTATATCTGTGTTTTTAGGCTATCATGCTCTCTTTGGCCCTGGGTACAAGCAGACGCAACAGAAGGGTGTGTTTGCCAATTCACCTGCACCTCCCCCCTCTATGTCGTCATTCTCCCCAGGTGAGAACCGTGAATATTGTTCAGTGAATCTACAGCCTACATCACCACTCAAAATCTTTTACCCTTAAAAGAGAATCACATTGTAATAGTTACGAACAATCAAGCTTGGAACAGTCCAGCTCAAAAAAGAAAAAGTACATGTCTGCATAGTATATGTGCATGTGTGCCTACCTATCTTGTCTGTGTGGAGTGAGGTCCAGTGCATGGGGCCACACTTCATAGCACTCAGGGACCTGGCTCATGTACCTGTGTAATACTGTATTATACTTGTTCTTAGAACAGTGGATTATGTAACTTTCACCTCTGCTGCTCCCAGTTCATTCCTTGTGCTTACCATCCTGACTACATTTAAGTACATTATATACTAGAAATAAAAATAAATACACTAGATACCCAAAATCTAGGCGTAGGGTCCTAAAGCTTCGACAAGATACAGGTAAGCACATTACACACCTTCACAGTAATTTGTGCCTTCTAAATGGATTGTTACAATTCTCCACGTGGACTAAAATATAGTTTATATTACAGCCAAGTCTTAATTTAGAAGAGAAAACTGGAGTATGCATGAGGTGCTGACATACTTAGGATAGTACAGTATTTAGCAATTAAAGTTAGAATTTAAAAAACTTTATAAATATTGTTCTTAAATTTGCAGAAATGGGTTAGATATTTCAGAATTATTTTCATGATACTTCTCATTAAATCACTCTTAATGCAGTTTACCTATATTTACCTTATTTTTTCAGTAGTTTCAAGTTCACCTGGAAGTGGGGGCAGTGAACCTGTCAACAAGCGTCTTAACTACTCGTCTCCATCGCCGCAGAGAATTAATCTGTGGAGTGTCAACTCGGATCCAATTTATGGTGCGCCTCCATATAGAAGAGGAGCCTATGAAGGCTCTCCCACTTATGGTGGTTCACCTAAGTGAGTCTGGTGTTAACAGTGATAATACATCTTTGTTCCCAACAAGTGGGATTGAATACTGTCAGTTTCATTGTGTTGTCCCTGTGTTCTAGCCTCTAGGCTGTTTTAAGCCTTATATTGTTGAAATTGACTTTATGAAGCATGTTCGTACAGTTTCTGATGCTCAAAAATCGTGAAATATAAGATGCGAGTTTAAACTTGTGGAAAAATAGGGGTTGACGAGTCATTTTTGACTTGTGAACCTAACTTAATTTATTAGCCCCAACCATGAGACTATTTTGACATAGGGAGCATGTAGAGCAAATGGTGCACTTTTGGCTGGTGTATGCACACCTGGATATTTAATGTAACGTACCTGATACTCAACCAGGTAAGGAATTTACACTATGGCTAGCGCTCCTTGCGTACGAGTGACATCCCACATGAAGTGGGAGGACATCACATTGCCTCAAGGTGTTTTACATAAAAAGTGCTCCGATTCCTCTTTCCACACATGTAAATAGTGAAAAAAGTATTCAGTAAAAAAAAAAAAAAAGATTGTACTAAAGAAATACCTGTATAGATAATATAAATTTTCATTTTGATTTACTCTACTGTACATAATATTGATACTCAACTCCATACATCACTTGAAAAAGGAATTCATTTCGAAACGTGTTGAATCCGGCACGTTGTAAGTGCACGGTAAGCTTAGGCTGTATGCTAGTGTGACAGCTTGATACCATGCTTGGTTACTCAAGTATATTTTTAATTTAGCAGTTGTAAAAGGTTATGTATAAGCATTTAAAAAACATCCTTTTTAAATCCAAGACCACAATAATCATATTTCATGAACATAAACCATGGAAGACAATTAGGACATTTCTTAGGCGCTTTCATTTATTACATATTTAGATGCTATGTACACACACACACACACACACACACAATGCATGCAGACGATGAGTCACAATAACGTGCCTGAAGATATGATGACCAAACCACACATCAGAAGATGAAGAAATGACAACATTTCGGTCCATCCTGAATCATCGTCAACACACTACTTGATAATGGTCCACGACGGACCAAAACATTGTCATTTCTTCATATTGTGTTGTGTTGCTTGGTCATCATACATCGTGCATGTTGTACTGATGTCATTGTTTTGTTGCAATATTTGTTAAACTCGTTAAACTGGAATTTAAAAGCTTCCAGTTATTGTCTATTTAGAATGTAACAAACACAGGAATTAAATCTGGTATTTCTGGCCCAGCTGAGTAAGCAAGCACGAGATGCTTATTGGAACTTGTAGCAGTATGAGGCAAATTACAATTCTCAGGTACTTGAGGAATTTATGTACTATTTGATTCCTCACTGTCTTATGCTAACATTTCCATATTCAGTTAAGTCTTTGTACTTAATACGTGTAATGAAGAAAATGATAGTGCTGAGCAGGGTTGTCACTATTCAGCCACACATCGCAAGCAATATAACAGCATTGCTTTCACATTGAACATTAAAAGTTTGGGTTGACCAGTATCATATCTAGGCATGGCAAGTGTGTTTGTAGTAGAGGTTGTAATAGCTTGCAGAACCTATGTTGAAATGCATATATACACACACACACCCCATAAAGAATCAGTTGTATAATTTTGTCAGCACTACAAGGAATACAATAACAAAAAGAAGAATGATAAAGCAAGTAGAGGTAGCAATATGTTGTATATCTTATGGTAATTGAGTAAACAGGTGCAAGTGAGTTTCCAGGGTAATGATCTCGGGTCATAAATGTCTCAACATAAGCATGATTTTAGAACCTCTAATATAAACAATGCACTTAAACAGCAGGCACACTACTGCTTGTATTGCCAAGCTTGAATCAAAATAATGATTTCTTTGTATTAACCAAAACACTTGTTCAGTTGTTGGTGATAATCCTCTATAGCAGGCATTGTTCAGCAGTGTATTGTAGGCACATCAGCAAAATATTAAATAAATGAAGGTACCTTTTCTGCATTTTATACTGTTTCAATTTTGATAAAACATCTACCTGAATATTATTACTCTTCACTGCCAGAATAGCACTTACTTCATGGAAGAGGTTCTCCCAATATGGAAAATGTGTTTTACGCTTACTTAGATTCTCAAGCTTCCTGGAAGCTACTGCTCATGATGGGTGAAGACCAAGAGATGCGTTGTGGATAATTTATCATTTTAGACTCGTTTCTAAATAGATTTCCAATAAAGTTAATTGAAATAGAAAACAAAGATAAGAGATTAGTACATATTGAGGAATATGTCTAATAAATTGGTGTGACAGACCTAGCTTGCCAGACCCCTAGCTGTAACAGCTGGAGTTCCTAATAGCTCTCAACAGTTATAAATACCTTTACAAAATTAAGGCAAATTTAATTAACCTTAAAATTCTGATAAAAATACTTTTATGAAATATTTAGATTGCTTCAATGTGTTCAAATTTATTATCACCGTACTGTATTCAGTATAGATACATAAATGTTCACTTTTTATGTAAAAAGTTACAATTTCTGTATGCTGCTTTAACTGCTTATTTTTTAATGCTTTTTATGTGGTGGGCAATGGAAGAGGATAAACCCTTAAACACAAATTCCTATTTTTGGTCTTATATGTTTATACAGTAATAAAGAATTTTTTATATTGTCATTTTATTATGAACCAAACATATAGTTAATGTTTTATTTTCATCACTTACATTCCAGTACTAAAAACATTCATGTGAGGAACCTTAAAATATTTTATATAAAAGGAGTGATCTTATGACATATTTACTGAAAGATAATAGATACATTAAAAAACAAGGAATATTTTGCTGCCATAACAATACAGCATTTGAAAATCCAGACTATAAACTCTGCATGTGGAATTATTGTGTACCCATACTCGTCCTGTGAGTGAGAGTACTAAAGTATTACAAGGTACAATGGATGTTAACAAGGCCTCTGTAGAAGTTGACATTGCCATTCACAATATATCTGCACACATTAAATATAATAACTAGTAACAAACTTTAAAGACATAGTTCAACAATGCCTTGGTTCGGAGACTGCTTATTGAATGTAACTTTTCTATCTGTGCGATGGCCTTTAGTCTATTTCAGGAGTTTTCCTTAACGCCCAGGCATGCAAGCTCGTCCAGGATCACAATGCCTCGTGCCTTACCAAAAGCTCTTGTAGTGTTGACAAACAGTACTTGGCTATGTCATTGGCCAAATAATTTGCAATATAATTTGCTATGCTCTGACCTTTAAGGAGTGTATTGTTGTGGGGTTACATCCTGGGGAGGGTCAGTAGTTCTACCTAGGGGGACCTCTATATAAATCTATAGTATATACAGTATGTATGTATATATACACAGTATGTACATAATAGCCGGAACAACACTACTTGGCATAGTATGCAAGGGTGATTTGCCTACCAGGCAGTAATTTAGTTATTTACAAATAATTTTTTCCAAATTGATTTATTGCAATTAATATTATATTAAGAACATGAATTACTGACTTAGGTTAGGTTTGATGTAATTTATATGTTAGTTTTAACTAAATCAGATTATATATATAAAGTAAGCTTTTTCATTGTATGAGAAAAACTATATAAGGAAAATTATATAATTTGGCTTGTTAGGCAATGTGGCTAACTAGGTACAACATGTACACAGGCTTCCTGTCCCTGAGAAGATGAATTAAAAAATAAACGATGTAACTAGTGCCTTTACAAGAAAGTAAAAACCATGCTAATGTACCCTCACAAACCCAATGTACCTTCTTGTATATAAATAAATAAATAAATAGCTGAAATTCTGAAATTCTGCTAGAATTTACCTACTTAAAATTATCTGTTAGATTAAGGACCTGCCCGAAATGCTGCGCGTACTAGTGGCTTTACAAGATAAATAAATAAATGTTTATTCAGGTAAGGTACATATATACAAGAGGTTTTACAAAAATTTGATAGATTTATAGATAGAGCTAGTACATACAATGCCTAAAGCCACTATTACGCAAAGCGTTTCGGGCAGTAAATACTATGCTATGTATTCTCACAAACCCAATGTACCTTCTTGTATATAAATAAATAAATAAATAAATAAATAAAATATATTGATACGAAATGGAGGTAACAGCGTGTACGAAACTGGTAAGTAAACATGTTATGTGTACGAGACGACCAGCGCCTGACACAGTGCCGTCAGTCATGGCGCTGAGGGCGGCGCCCCCCAGGCGGCTCAGGGGCAAGAGGCTGGCTGCTCTACTGGCGGAAAGTGACAATGAATCTGACAGTGACACCAGTGACGAGCGTACGAGCGCGTCCCTGGACCTGAGTAACAGCGACCCCGAGGACAGTGAAGACGCTGGAGGGAGGAGAGCCAGCAAGCGGCGGGCCTCGAGAGTGTCAAGATCTAACGTGGAGTCGGACTCGACCAGTGATTATGAGTACGAGGAGAGTGGCGGTGATGGCGGGAGGTGGAGTGGTAGGAAGAGGGCGAGGGGGCGAGGGCGAGGTGTGAGGGGCAGCCGCCCCCCCTCGCCTCACACTCCACAGTGGACTTGGGAGGATGATGAGCCATTCCTGCCTCAGGCATACACCTTTGATGAGTCTAATGTCGGTATGAATACAAGTATAACTTTCGATGACGAGTGCTTAGAACTTAGTATTTTTACCAAGTTCATAAATGAATCCCTAATTGATAGGGTAGTGGAGCATACTAATTCTTATTTTGAGTCTCTGGCAGCTAACAATGATTTCTTACCCACCTCACGCATGAAAAGATGGAAACCAACAAATAGAGATGAAATATATATATTGCTTGCGGTGTTAATGCTGATGGCACACGGGAAGAAGCCCTCCCTGACAGACTACTGGTCACGGGATCCTCTCATTGAAACTGGAATGTTTGCCAAGCTCATGTCGCGAGATCGCTTCCTTTTACTCATGAAGTTGCTGCATTTTGTGGACGCTAAGACTGATCCCAAAGATGACTCTCTGTTTAGGATCAGGCCGGTATATTCCGCGCTAAAATCAAAGTTCGGCGAAATGTTCCGGCCTTCGCAAAAGCTCGCAATTTATGAAAGTTCGATGCTGTGGAAAGGGAACATGTTGTTTAATGAGTATATCCCATCAAAAAGAAATAGATTTGGGCCAAAAAGCTTTATTGTTTGTGACTGTAAAACTGAGTACATTTTGGACATCCTTCTCTACACGGGCGATTCCACTGAGCTGACGAGGTCCGACGACCTTGGCGTCTCGGGTTCGGTAGTTCAAACACTAATGGAAAATTACCTAGACAAGGGGCATATCTTATACTTGGACAGATGGTATTCGAGTCCTGTACTGTTTGCTTATCTTGTGGAACATAAGACTGGAGCTTGCGGCACCGTTAACTCCAACAGAAAGTTCATGCCAACATTTAAAAAGAAACTGAAAAAAGGGGAGTGTCAGTCTTTTCATGCAAACAACATCTTGGCCCTCAAGTGGCGCGGCAAGAGAGATGTGTGTATGTTATCCACCGTAAACTCTGACACGATGGAACGCAGTAATAAAAAAGATCGCTTAACTGAAGAGTATAAAAAGAAGCCTTGTGCAGTTTTAGACTATAATGTAAACACACACCGTGTGAACGATATGCAAATTGTAGAGTCGATCCGGAAAACAGCAAAGTGGTACAATAAATTCTTTCTTCATTTAGTAAATATAGCTTCCTTAAATAGCTACATCTTGTTCAGTATCAAAACAGGAGAGAAGCCCCATGTTACTGATTTTCTTAAGAAACTTATTCATCAATTGATAAAGAAATACTGTCACAGTCACGAACACCCCCCACCCAGAAGGAGTAGAGATCCCAGCACCATTGAAAGACCAGTTGCACTACGTCTGACGGGACGTCACTTTATTCGTTACCTGCCCGAGACCCAAAAGAAGCAGTTTTCAACCAGGAGTTGTTACCTGTGTCGTACTACTACTATGGCACCTCAGAAAAGAAAAGAGACACGCTATTGGTGTGAACCTTGCAATAAAGCCTTATGCAAGGTACCGTGTTTTGAGGTGTATCATACCCAAAAGGTGCTATAAATACATAATTGCATGACTCAATATTAAAACAAATATTATTTATGCAATTTGGACAATTTTATTTTATTGTACAGTATTTTAGAAAATAGTAAATGCATTTTTCATTATTAGAAAAAATAAGCTATCGAGAGCTATCTTTATTTAAATTACTGTTTTTAAGATATTTAAAATATTGCTATATATACTGTACTGTACTCTGATTTATGAAAAAAAATTAAATTTATTTATCCTGCATAAGTGAAACAAAAATATTGCATGGAAAGAATTTAAATTGCCACATTACTGGATATAGATTTCGGAGAGTGTGAAGGGAATCCATATTTAACGCTACCTTTCCTATAGAGGTAAGTTATTGACATTTGTATTTTTTTTTAATATAGTATTCAGTAAACTTGGCCTAATGCATAAAAGTTGTTGCTGCTGGCACAATGTCTGCTTACATGGTCTAGTTGTATATATAGGTACTGTACTTCATAGCTATTGTACCTGGTGCATATGTATGCAATACAAGAATTTGCTTACATTAAAGAGCAAAGTTTTATTGAAGAATACCAATCCTTTGTCAAATGAAGGCTTCCCAAGCATCACCAGCCATCTGCCATGTGGAGAATACAGAGCACACAATACTGACGTTATGTAAATGTATTTACAAATGCATGTATTGATGTAATGTACATCTCATTCACAAAAATACATTTACTGTATATACATTATTGTTTTATATGCTATCAGAGTGAGAACTCATTTTTTCAAACATTTATTATAAAACTATCTTGATACGAGCAAAGATATGTAAGATTTAATAAGTTTCTTATAATTTGCCATCAGTGACATCTGGTCACCACTTGGTCCGGGAGACATCTCCCGTCACGCAGGGTGCAGTCGCACCTCCACAGATCTCCAGTATCAGCTCTTGATACTGGTAATGGCTCAAAAGGGCCACCACTTACGGGCTATTCATGCCCGTGCCACCTCTTGGGTGGCTTAATCTTCATCAATCATTCATCAATCGCCATCAGTGACATCTCGATGCAATATTCATCATAAAGGGGAAAATTTACTTTATTTTAAAAATCTGTATTGTACTAAAAGTAGAGTTACAGATATACTTGTGTTGATCATAATGCTGTAACAATATTTAGGTGGATCATGGTTTAAATATGTCTTATTCATATAGAGAGATCTTAATGTATGAACTTTACAAAATTACAATTCTCTGTTCATATGGTCAAACATTTTAGATTCTTTTAAGTGTCAACATTTTTCCTAGAGAATTTTGTACACTTTGATTATATATATTTTTTTTCAGTGGTTTCAAATTCAACGAGACATGGAATGTGGTGAAAATGTTGACAAGTGTCTTGGCTATATTGTAAATTAATCTGTCAAGTGTCAACACATATCCAATTTATGGTGGACAGCTGTACAGAAAGCAGCCTTTGAAGGATCTTCAAGTGATGGTAGTTCACCTTAATGACTACTGTAATGGTAATAGTAATAATACCCATTTCCAATAATTGTAACTGCATGCAGTTTTTCTTTGATTTAAGCATTATGACTTTGAAATTATATTTTTGCTAAAGTACCTTAATAGTTTGTAATTCTAAAAAAATCTTGAACATTAAGATCTTGAGAGCATGCAGGGTTGGCAGACTTGTTTTGTCATTAGCTTGAACAAAACTTATTTCAGATACAGTATATTAAGACTATTATACCTGGACTATTGCTGATTCTGCTTGCCTGATCAAAATGTTTGTAAATCATCTACTCTCATCTATATCTCTCCATACATAATTTTTATTGTTTTAATTATCACCATAATATTAATCATTATCATTTGCTAGTTTCATTGGGTGGCTTCTCTATTTTATCTAACACCCCACACATGCTTCTGATGTGTCCATTTCTACTCTAATTCTTAACTTTATTCAACATCAGTGTTACATTTTTTATGCTTTTTTTTTTACTGTAGCTCTTCCTATCTTTATCTTACTGTAGCTTTCATTACACCAACCACTTTCTTATTCTGCCTCACTATACACTTCGTTTATCACATATTTCCAAGCATTTAAACTGATCCAGTACTTCTCTATTCACACTAATTTCACAAAGATTTTCCCTCCACCACTACATTTTTTATTTGTGTTCACCTTTAAGTCTTCTTTTGTGCCACTAAAAGTTTTAAATTATACATAAATCTCATTCTTTGCTAGGAGAACTGCATCAACTTTATATTGTATATTAAATTTTACAAAGTCCATTTTCCCATCTGGGATACCCTCAAGACTCCATTAATATAAACTATATATTGAATAACCATGACATCGCACAACCCTGATATACAACTTAAGTATAATTATATATTATGTACACCATTAGCAGTTATATACATGCCCACCTTTTCAAATTTGCATTTCATGTATGTATAAGGACCTTGAGTGGCAACGAGAGATGTTATTTGTTGCTCCATTGCCCCTCTTCATTCATTAAAAAGTATTTTCTTTCCTTACTAATATAATCTTTCACTCCTACTCCTATATTTATTCTATTTCACTCACCATTCTAGCTTTCTTTTTAGCTTTTCTCAAGCTTAGGACATCAAACTTTGTCCTTAACCATTTTACTGCACCAATTGCCTGTGGGGAAACTAAATGTGCCCTGTAATGTTCAAAAGTCTCACCGAGTCTGTGTAGATGTCATGTTCAACATTAGAGACTTTTGGCAATTGTTTACCATATTGGAAAATATCCAAAATGCCCCTTAGGTTCTTTCCTGGGCCTTTGTAAAAAGGTGGGAACAATATCAGATGCATCACTGCCCATTCATGATATGCAAAATTAAAAGTACTTTTATGGACCTGGAAGAGCTTAGTGATAGGATGAATCTATTACACACAGTTAACTTGATGTTTTACACTATAGAAAGAATTCTTTTTATGTGCATTTGTACCTAACTTTAGGTGAGCAGTTAGGAGGTTAAAAGGTTTCACCACTTTCAACTTCTTTCAGAATCGACTTTTATTTGGAAAAACTGGTACAAATGATTACAATTGTGGTCATAACGCACAGGTGTACAGCAGTGTAAATGAAACTTAACCTTTTTTTGACACATTTAAAGTTAAACATTTTATAATTTAAGTAGGGATATATATATTAGTAAAATTTAACTTTGCACAGCCATATAAATTTGCATTTAATTTTTGGGGGCATTTGCAAGAGAATAGACCTCAGATCCACGACCCATTTTACTCACGGGAAAAGTGATAGGTAATATAAAAATGACAAAGCCTAATAGCCTTGGCAACCTATACATCAGTTGAAGGTTGAGAGGCATGACCAAAGAGCTGAAGTTCAATGTCTCCAACCAAGCACAGTTAGGTGTACTCACGCTCACTAGTGCACTCTTACCTCTTTAATCTAATATTATTAGAAATGGCAGTGCATCTATAGGTATACTAGCCCAAATTATAAATTTGGAGTTGGAGAAAATGAAATACAGTGACACAATTTCATAATTCAATATACATAATTCAATTCAACTGTTCAGGGGCCAGATTCACGAAACAGTTACGCAAACACTTACGAACCTACACATCTTTTCTCAACCTTTGCCGGCTTTGTTTACAATTATTAAACAGTTAATGAAGCACCAGGAGGCTGTTTATAACAATAACAGTCGATTGGGAAGTTTTCATGCTTGTAAACTGTTTAATAAATGTAACCAAAGCCGTCAAAGATTATGGAACGATGTACACGTTTGCAAGTACTTGCGTAACTGCTTCGTGAATCTGGGTCCCAGTACTATAACAAAATACTATTTTGTAACAATTTTCTTAAACATTTTTGTTTTATCTTGTATAAAATACTTGCCTACACTAGTATGTGTGCAATTTTTTTTAATGCAATTTGACAACCATTAATAACTGAAATGAACAGTACAGTACTGTACTTCAATAATTAAACTTTATTTATAAATACTTTTAAAACAAAATCCAATCAATTTGTCTACAAATATTATTTGGTAATTATTTTTTTAGTAATTATACTGTATTGCACTGAAATGAGCATTTTGGAGGTGGCACTATAATTGAAGACCAACTGGTCACTAAATGAATGTAAATTTATGCATGAAATTTCAGTGAGGTTTCATGTATATTCCTATATACTGTAATGAGCCTTTAATAATTCTTTTGTATCAAAATTACTGTATACAGTATAGTGCTAAATAAAAAATTAGTGCCAAATTTTTTTTTTTTTCCTTATCATTCATACAGTATATATAATTAGCTTAGTTGATACCCCACTATGAAATTATAAAATGCTATCCTTGTTTCATGTTATAATAATTACACCTAACAAAAGGCATCTTTGTTACAGTGGCCAATATAGTCTTTTTGCGCACCTCAACACCAACCTGAGTTCCAGCTTTGGCAAAAGCTGTGGGAACATATGCCATAGCTATGTTTATTCCCAAAGATGGGGCAGGACAGCCACTTGTCACCTGCAAGGAAAATATAAGAACCTGTTATGGATGTTTTGTAAATACTGTACAGTGCTGTGTTTGTTCTCTCCCTATGAATAACAAAGTGGGAACTCCATTGTACACACAGTATAGAGAACCTAGGGCAATGAAAGTTATTCGGAACCGATTCTCTCATCTAAAGTACTGTATAGTCAAATGAGGTGTGGGGGATATGCCTAGTATTAAACTATGTTATAAATAGACTACCAAAGGTATTTTTGAAGTCTAGGAATATGCAATCTACACAGCACTCTCTTTCCTGGTGAGCATATTATAGAACTATCAGATTCATCAGACAACTTGCGTACTCTAAAGTCACATTTTATTTCCAAATTTGGTCTTTTCCAGATGTTGCAAAATCTTCCAGAATTTTACAAGGCATACATATTGAAAACAAATTTTAATAAATTACTGTACTCTTGACTCACCTCTCCAATTTTATTTCCCTTAGAATCCAGGACAGGACAGTGAGTTCGAGGAGGAGGACCACTACAAGTAAGGCCAATACGACGACGCTTTGGCTTCTCCTTCAGTTGCTTCAAGATTACCTAAACAAACATGGCTAACATTGATAAAAATTATTTGTTATTAATTTAAAAGTTTATATATAAAGTACAAATATCAAACTGCTACAGTATGTTAGGAAATCACTGTAATTGACATAAATAATTCTCTGAAAGGCACATATGCATGTAATTAATTTCCAAGTGGTAATGCTGTACGTATATGAAAAGATTCTTTATTTTTCAATAAAGAAATGGAATGCAAAAGGGGTTTTATTACACTTTCCAGAATGTATTAATGAAACTGACAACAATGACCATTGTTTAAAATGCTACAAGAATATTGTAGAACAAATAATCAATTCCAGATATTGACTTGAATCACTTCTTGATGTAATCTTTATCCTAAACAAGTAATAAGTGTAGCACTATATTTATGAACATATATGTATCCTCAAGTTATGATGGGCAAAAATATGAACTGATCCAATTTTTACATGCCAAAATTACACTGCATTTTTAATAGTTGATTTTTTTTTTAGCATTATCAATAGTTTACTGTTGTGAATCAACCAATACTAACTTGTGTTCATCAATGAATGATACCAAATAAAGTGTATCATTACACTGTGTCTTGAAAGTTAACCACAGCTGATGATGAAAATAAAATGGCAAAAAAGGTTCATGTTATGTAGCAGGAAGGAAGGAAGAATAAAGAAGTAAATGGTGTAAAGATTCTACAAGCAGGAGAGAGAGAGAAAATTAAAGAAAAGTGTTTGCTAATTGATGAATGAACTGACCAATAAATTATTGCATAACATTGTTTAATATGCTTGTATGTGGAACTCGGATTTGAGTGAAGGTGAATGATTGGTAAAGTAGGAATGGATCAAGAGAATTATGGAATGAGTATCTTTGGTATATGTGAATACAGGGCACTAGGGTGGCCTGGGTCTAGCACTAGGTCTAGGGTGGCCACTTCATAATAGCCACCCTAGAGTGCAACAAAGCCTGTTAATAAGTAGTAGTTAATGATCAGTTTAAAAAGTTTGTATGTGTATAGTTGCTTGTAGTTTTGTTCTTGTTTATATTATTGATTGTACATACAATTTTACGTGCTGCTATTTTTATTGGCTTGCGTATTCCTGGATTTACCCGAGGGTCACACCACAAGCTGCATGTTGAAAAGCACCATACAGAATATAAAGGTACAGTGTAGACACACACAAAAAAAATAAGCATGAGGAAAAGCCCTGTAAATATGTCCAACTAGCCTCTTGGAACAAAGAAACAAATACATAAATTCTTTACTAAAATTATGATATCACCTCTGCTCCTAAGAAATCTGCAGTCTCCCTTCGTCTCTTCCCTATAGTCCATGCCAAGCCTCCCTCAATAGGAGTTGTAGAGTCATCAATATCATTACCATAGAGGCAGAGTCCAGCCTCTAGTCTGAGTGAATCTCGAGCCCCTAGACCTGCCAGACGAACACCTAGGCCAACTAAAGTCTCACAAAGTTCAACTGCCTGCAAAGAATAGCAAATACAGATAAATAAATTCTTACAATTATTTTATTTATTTCTTTATTTATATATATACAAGAAGGTACATTGGGATTGTGAGGATACACAACATAGTAATTACATTCTTGTAAAGCCACTAGAACGCGCAGCGTTTCGGGCAGATTATAGACAGACAAGATTATACATCTTGTATAATTTGGAAATATATTTCTTTATAAAAGTTCTCCATAATGAGCATAACAAAATTGTTGGAATTGGACCCAAGGTACACATCCACTAACATTTGTTGTGTGCTAAAATTAAATTAAAACTGATAAAAAGTGCATCTTGATGTGGTAAGTAGCAGCAGCTTGGTCTATAGAAAAACTAAAAAACTTTCCAATTCTAGATAATTCGTAGGTAATTTAAAGGAAAGTAGTTTACAAATTTGTTTGTATTATCACTTCCAATGTAATGTTAGGTTTACAGTAATTCTCTGTAAAGTATCTAGGATTTGCAAGTTTTTTATTTTTTGTCTTTGTATCTAGACCAAACTGCTTTTTGCTTATCACAACAAGATGTAGTTTTATTACTTTTTATTTAAATTTAGCACATAATAGATGTTGATGCATGTGTACCTTGGGATTATCCTATATGTTTGACCTATCATATTTACACAAGTACATGTAATTATGAAAAGTGGTAACTAGAAAGGATATACAGTGTAACCTGCAAAATCTGGACCTCCATATAACAAATACCTCTTAACAACATAATATTTGCTATTAGATCATCTCTCTGGAATTGGGATTTGATTTAGATTCACATGCAATGACCATCATCGCTCATTCCTTGACCATCTCTCATAACCTTGATGATAATGCAAGGGATAATCTCATCCCTTGACCATTCTCTCATGCCTTGTCCATCATCCCTCATCCCCTGTCCATCATCCCTCATCTCCTGACCATCATTCCTCATCTCCTGACCATCATCCGTCATCCCCTAACCATCATCTGGATTGCATCCAGAATGATACGATCAGAATTTTGGAAGGTGCACTGTATGTACAAAGTAAATGACAAACCTACTTTGTTCAAGTGAGGTCTTGGTAAATGGTGCATGTAGATGTTTGGCTTGCACCAGTATTATTGTTCTGTATTTGACCCTCACTTTACAACCTGTCTTATGACATATTATGTCTCATATTTTTCAAATGAGGTAAATTCTGCACAGATATTGTATATACATCAATACCTTTAATTTTACATGTTGAGCATTGAACAAACTGACAAAGCCACAAAATATTTGATGTGTGAATGATATTGACAAGCCTGCACCACGAGTGTCGGCACAAACCTTGGAATTGGGAACCGAGATCTCCACCCCATCCTCTCCAGTGTAGCCGCACCTCGTCACCCTACATGGGATACCAGCCACGTGCAGTTCTCGAGTGTTCATGAAGAAGAGATCGTCCAGGTTTCCTTCTGATATGGGCTATGGATTTTGTAATATTAATATAGATTATTAAGTGTCTGGCAAGGAAACATTATAGTTTCAAGTAAGATACAGCATACTACAGTGTGCAAAGCCTTAAAGCACTCAATGAGGCAAAATCGTCAGCAAAAATGCTCACTGCTAATGAGCTATGACTGTATAAATTAATAATAATGCCCTTTAATATGCTAAAGCTGATATGTTTGTAATGCTGTGAATATTCATGAAGCATACTTTGTGAATTAAAATTTATCAAGAAGTACCTCCCCTTCCCTGAATGTTCTCGGTACTTCTAGTTAATTTTGAAAGTTGATATGCAATAACACAAATACTGTTCAGTACAAACACTTATATTAAATAAAAATCTGGAGAAAATTCTAATTTTGTAAGAAACCTAAATTAAACAATAACACTTTATGGTGTTGTAAAGTCAATTGAACACATGCATTTACAGTAATTATCTAAATGTAATTTCACACTCCTAGTGGCTGAAACAATACGCACCATTACAACTGATATACAGTACTGGTCAGCATGTTCACGGGTTATCTGTGCTCAGTTTCAAGAGTACTGTACTTCTCTCATATCCTAGCCAGGGGCCACATTTTTTGAGGTGTGTTGCTAATGGCTGTCAACAGGCCCACATAGCCATCACAATCTGGCATTTCCTGTAAGAATCTAATTTTCTTGAAAACCTTTAACTTTTGGTCCAGCAATATTTTTTTTATATTTGGTGCAAAAACATTCACACATGGGATTCTGATAAACCACACTCAGTGTGTATGGCATCTCTACTCTTCACTAGATCTATTCTACACTTCCTACCATACTTTTTGCTCCAATAACTTGTTATATTAGTGTAAGTATTTATAACCTAACCTTTTAAGTATTTTCCCTGCATATAATTTATCATATCTCTCCCATCTCTCTTCATGGAGGGTCTGATTTTGGCTTGGCCAATAGGTGCTGGCAAAGCCAAAATCAGATCTTCCATGCCAAAATATCAGATTGGAAAATTAAAAGATTTCGATTCATATTAACTATAGGATTATAAGAAAATTAAGCACGCACAGTATAGTATTCAAAATACAAAATAGGTAAACACTCATTATTCAGACATTCTCCTACTATTACAGTTTAATTAATAAAGTGCTGCTTTCTCTGATAGGGCCCCTGTATTAGAGAAAACAGTGTAATGAACAGAGTATATGTTCATTACACTTCTTATGTCGTAAAATCAAAAAATTAAAAATAAAGGTAATAACTTGTAAGTGCTTAAAGTACAAACATGAGATCAAAACCAAATATTTTAAACAGGCTAAACAGTTTTATCATTATTACAGATACTGTACCTGCAAGATTTCAGCTGTACGTGGACCTTGAACTGCCACGAGAGCATGATCGTTAATAACCTCTAGCTCAACATCGCCTCCGGCAGCTTTAAACGAAGAGAGATGGTCCGACATGTGAGCGAGGTCTTTGTCCCTGCAGCCCGCATTGCTGACCACATACAAGTAGCCCTGATCAGTCTTGCTGCAGATAAGGTCATCGATGATGCCACCCTGCTCGTTGGTGAAGAGCGATAAGGTGCCGGTATTCTCATCCAGCCCTTCGATGTCCCCAACAATCAACTTCTCGATATATTTGATACGGTCCTTGCCGTGGACCTTGGTCTGCAGCATGTGAGACACGTCGAACAGACCACAGTGGGTACGCACCTCATTGTGCGACGGAGCTATGCCAACTTTGCCATACTGAACTGGCATGGAGTAGCCAGCGAACTCGACCATCTTGCCTTCCTTAGCTACATGGAAGTCGTAGAGGACAGTCTTATGGGAGCATCTTACTGGGGACGTGCCCAGACACCTCACCTGGGACGTGCCCAGACACCTCACCTGGGACGTGCCCAGACACCTCACCTGGCACGTGCCCAGACACCTCACCTGGGACGTGCCCAGACATTTCGCCTGGGACGTGCCCAGACACCTCACCTGGGACGTGCCCAGACACGTCACCTGACAAGTGCCAGGCAATACTCTCCTAGCTAAAGCGTTTCTTAGCATCTTGGCAGTATTATGAGGATCCTAAGGCGATAATGTCCGAAGAAACCCACTGCCGAAGTGTGAGGTGTGTGAGAGCCTCCGCCAGCTGCACAACACGCCTGACGTCACACATACTATTGGTAACCTCGTTTAATGATACATTACATTCCTCTACGTGTAAAATGAGGGCGTACATGTACTACATTTATACCCCTATCAGTATTTCACGATCATTTACGCAAAAGTACATCATTATGTTGCATCACTAGTCGAATAAAAATGAGTTTATATGAACTTTTCCATAACCTGTTGATTAGGTAGGTATTAGCGTCGGTTAGTGAGCCGTGAACCTCGGGGTACTCCGTGGGTGAGCGGTAGAGTACATGGTTTACACCAGCTACACAAGGTCTTAAATATATCACAATGGGTGTTGGGGAACATTTGCAAGGTTATACACTAACCCACAGCTAGCAAACTTCAAGTGGGCCACGAAGCTGTCGTCTTGTAATCGGGAGTGAACTAAATACTTACATCTCGCTGGAATGTTGTATGTCAGTTGATCGGACATGATTAATAATTGGGCATTTATAAATATAATGATGAAAAGTATGTCCCAGCCCCTCTTCACAGAGTTTAATAGCAATTGGGGTGTTGAGCGCTTGGATGTGAAGCAATAAAGAGCAATAAATACGTGCCATATGCCACAGTGACCTCACCCGTAAGACGAACACGATATATAACTAATTCTACATAACTTATTTACCTATGTTAGATTTTCTATTTTACTTAGAAGGGAGTTTATTGGGACATGTACTATCTTCACCACCAAGCATTGGCCAGACTCAAATGCACTTAACCTGACTTAGCGAGCGAAAATATATCTGACTTTTTATTTTACACACATGTGAGTAAAGAATCAGACGGTTTTAGATTCCTGTTTCAGGCTAGGAGCCTTCTCCTTTCCTTTGCTCATGATAAGCCTTACATACTCGTTTTCCCTGGAATTAACCCGCCAATCGGTTAACGACCAGTTATCCAATTACTGCTGGATGAACAGAGGCGAACAGTTAAGGATTGACGTCTATACAGTCAGTCCACCTTGGCCAGGCGCTCACCTACGTCAGTTTATCACTAGTGGGCCTCGATATCCACAAGCCGTCGGCTTCCTGTCTTCGTCGAGGCCACTAAGGTTAGTGTTCCTCGGGTAAAGCAGGTAAATATGCCTCTGGACCAGTTACATAATTAACCGTGTACCAACTGCAGGTGTGCGCGTGACTCCCAAAACACCGCAAGTTTGGTCATGGCTATATGTAAATCGTTTTAATTGCCATAAGGGTGTTTCCTGCACTGTTTCTTTTCCTCCTTCCTAGTTATTACCTAAGTGTAATTACCTAAGTGTAGTTACAGGACGAGAGCTACGCTCGTAGTGTCCCGTCTTCCCAGCACTCTTTGTCATATAACGCTTTGAAACTACTGACGGTCTTGGCCTCCACCACCTTCTCACCTAACTTGTTCCAACCGTCTACCACTCTGTTTGCGAAAGTGAATTTTCTTATATTTCTTCGGCATCTGTGTTTAGCTAGTTTAAATCCATGCACCTCTTGTTTCTGTCCAGGGGAAGAAAGATACAGGCAGCATGGGGCGTTAAAGTTTATTGAAGATTAAATTCTGCAGAACATGTAAATATATAAAGTAAGAATTAACAGTAACAATTCCAAGTCCGAGGACTAGGTTTAACTTAAAAGGTACACCCGTAGTAATTATGAGACCTTAGCCTATAGTGACATGGAACTAATTCTGCAGAAACGTAAAGCATTAACTGGTACTAGAATTAAGGCCGAATGCAAATGTGAGTAATTATATAACACTAGGATATAACAGGCAGGACACAAAGAGTAACTAATAAGTGAGAGACCACATAACACATAATGTACCCGACCAAGAGGCCGGTAAGACCTAATGAATAAGGAGAAGGGGTTGACTACAAGTAGGGCTTACTAGCACCCAGACTGGGCAAAGTAATAGCTGCGGACAGCGGGACACTTGGGGACCGGCGCTGCACCCCCACCGCAGGCCAGCGGCCGGACCCCCCCGCACCTCTTGTTCTTAAGATAGTGGGTGTCTGTGTATGCATTCATGCTTGTGCTTATATTCACCTAGTTGTGTTGGCGGGGGTTGAGCTCTGCTCTTTCGGCCCGCCTCTCAACTGTCAATCAATCAACTATTACTAACTACTAATTCCCCCCCCCCCCACACACACACACACCCAGGAAGCAGCACGTCACAGCTGTCTAACTTCCAGGTACCTATGTACTGCTAGGTAACAGGGGGCATCAGGGTGACAGAAACTCTGCCCAGTATTCCTCGCCAGCGCCGGGAATAGATCCCAGATTCCACGGGATTACGTGTCCAGCGTGCTGTCCACACAGCCACCGGCGCCCCAGGTGGCTGTTTTGTGACAATGTTTTTTTTTTAGATATATACAAGAGTTGTTACATTCTTGTAACAACTTTGTTAACCTTGTAACTTGTAACATTTGTATCTTGTGACATAGATGGCGCGTGTGTATTTCAGAGAGTAACCACATGTATTTGTATGTGCTGCATTATCAGCACCTAACGAAAGTATTTATTATGCTCCCACACCCTCGCTGTTGACGTACATATTGAGGTATTTCACCGTAGTACTTTCCCGAAATACAGCAGGGTACAGCAGGGTACGACCAGAGCTCCGGGTTACATGACTGCCTTTTTCTTCCCGTACATTTGCCAGACGTACGAGTCACGGAGCGTGGAAACTGTTACGTTATACATGGCATTGTGCGCTTACTATTTGCTTTCACATAACAATGGGGATATTACTAGGATTTTGGCCAAATAAAGGAAATGTTGACAATGTAATATCCTCATAAATATTACATAACTATTCAAGGGGTCTTATGTAAAGCAGAGAATGTTGCCACTGCTATGAGTTTCGTGCATTTAGGATATATGTATTATAATAGTATGTTCAGTACTTATTATAATTATTGATATTATTATAAAGATAATAAGTTTGTATAATAAGTTTTTAAATTACAACTGAATATACATATGATAGATTTATAAAACATATAAACAAACTAGCTGTAACCTATTGTATAGATGAATGAAGATGCTGTGAAATAAACAAATGACAATCAGGTTTTGTACCATTGAAGAATCAAGATACTTAAATATGCCACTGTATTTGCTTTAGTTAATAACAAACTCCTTACTGAGCACACATCTCTCGCTTATATTATTCCCAGTTTGCAAACAGACTAGTCTGACTGTGAGTGTTCATGAGGTGGTATATATCTCATTCTTTCAGCTCTCTATATTAGAATGAGTGAGAACGACAAGTTAATTGATAAAAGTGTGTACGGAGGCATGAGTCTAAAGGATCTATTAGAGACTGCTAATCTCATCGAATTTACTTGGAAGGACCTGAAGGGAAGAGAAGGTAGGACATTTATTAATATATAATTGTCAGCTTATTAACTGAATTGCATAATGAATTATGAATACTAGTACACACGAATTCGGTAATGATATAGTAGTAATTTTCTCTTAACAGAAAGAAAACTGTAACATGAGAATTACCATTAAATTTAATCAGCCCGAAACTAAGTCAGGTATTATAATGATCTATTAATAAATAATAATATTTGATACAGCTGTATTTTATGGGAAGTTAAACTCGTAGTATTGAAGCTTTTAGGGACTAATGAGTGCCAGTGCCAGTAGGTCAGGTGGCTGTAGTCTAGGGTTTGACGCTTTTGGCTACCTTACCTTGAGGTTACCTTGAGGTGCTTCCGGGGCTTAGCGTCCCCGCGGCCCGGTCGTCGACCAGGCCTCCTGGTTGCTGGACTGATCAACCAGGCTGTTGGACGCGGCTAATTCACTGCCTTTTTTTTCGGAGGGGGAAATCGAGAAAACGGGCTGATCAATGCGACTTGAATCCAATTCTTTGAGAAAGTTCATAACGCCCCACGGACCAAGTGTCGCAGATTTTGTGGGAAGAAATAAGCGCCGATGTTCTGGGTGGCTGTTTTCGTATGGTAGGCCGCTCCACAAGGCTCAGCACAGGAGTGTTGGGTGCTGAGGAGGAAAGGAGAGTTGGCAAAATAATCTAGGAGGCTGTGGAGACACCAAGGCTTACCTACTTAGAATTATCTGTTAGATTAAGGACCAGCCCGAAACGCTGCGCATACTAGTGGCTTTACAAGATTGTAAATACTATGCTATGTATTCTCACAAACCCAAATGTACCTTCTTGTATATAAATAAATAAATAAATAAGGCTTCTAAATCTGACGGGAAGAGTTGCTTGTTTCAACTGTGAGTCATCTTAGGTTGAGGACTTTTTCTAGCCTGGACTTCAAAGGGGTGTTATATTCACTTGACTTGATGCTGCTGTGGAATGGAAAACATCTTGGGCAGCAAGTTAAGAAGCGTAGGTATAGATAGGCATCTTGTGAGAAGGTAGGTCATTTCATCTAAGATCTCCTCGAGTGCATGCAAACCAAAGGGAGCACATAGGAAGGTGAAATCCACTGGTTCAGTTATGTAGATATCTGGCAGGACATCCTTTACGTGTTCAGTAATATGTGAGTTAAAGGAGACTATTTCGCACTTCGATGCGTTAAGTATGAAACCTAGATTTGCTTCCAGCTGTTGAATTTTGCTAAGTCCTCAAGGAGGACTTCTAAGTTACTGGCAAGAGTGGCATCATCCACTAACCATATGTTTAGTTCGTGGGTCTGATTATCAGTGCCTTCTTTAGGCAAAAGAGTAATGGGCCCAAGAGGTCGCCCTGTTGTATACCTTCACACGAGTTAATTTCGTGTTCCCCAAAGAGAAGCTTTGAGTGACCATTGTAGCATAACTGGACGAAAGGATAAAATTAGAAAAGAAATGGGTACGAACGACTCGGAGAACAACGTCTCTTCTGACTTGATTGAAAACGTTCTTAAAATTTAGGTAACTAGTGTCTTTTGGTCTGTGAAGTTGACAGTGTATGCTTGCGCTGCCTGTGGTGCCGCTTCACAGCCTGGGTTGCATCATGGGGAAGGTCAGGAGGTGTGTTAAGGTGTTGTTGTTTTAGATTCAGCTACTGGAACACAATTTCCATGTAGCACGGGCTATGGTGAGCCCGTAAAGTGTGTTAGGCATACCAGGGTCCCCGTATAGGCCAACGACTGACATTCAGGAACCCACAGCAGTTGCCCAAACGCCTCGTCGTGCCCGAGCAGTACACATAATGCG